TTGTCACAGTTAAGAAACAACAAAAGAGAACAGCTATCATAGGCACACCGAACTTCTGATACCCTTGCAGACTTTAATGGTCTCGTTTAATAAGTCTTGTCTGCTCCAATTGGACTTACCTGTTTTATACCACTAAACAGACAATGCCAAGAGGCATCAAATCATTTATCTTGCCTTCGCTGCGACATTTTCTTTGGAAGAATAAAGACAAAGCAGACTTTTCCTAGTGAATCCTAAAGAGTTATGAATGCGTGCGAAAATATCTGCAGTTTTGCTGGCGGATCGCGGAGATCCTTGCATGTGTGAGAAAATAGCAGCAAAACTCCATTTTGCCTTGTCTTTTCGTGTGCGAGCTGGCACTCGACTTCAATTTTTTTTAGTTTTTTGGTCAGATTTGAAACCTTTCGCAAAGTGATATGATTTAACTATTGACCAATTTTGTGACCACAATTTGCAGGCCACAGTGCGGCGATGGCTGCTCGAAATACAATTTCATAGGTTGACACATTGATACCCCTTTTTATGCCTTGAACCAATTTAAAATGGATAAAAAGGGTATAATTGTTTTGTGCAAATGTATGTAAAAGGCAGAAGGAAGCATCTCCATAAAGTATATACCTATATTCTTGATCAGGATTAGCAGCTGGGTCGATATAAGAGCTAGAGACTTCAATGGAATATTTGGAATATGGGTTCTCGTATATTCGGAGCAGGACAAGTTTGCTTAATTTTATCGATAACTGCCTCTGTTTCTAGAATATTGATAATTACGATTTCCTATAGCAATAAATGCAAAAATTTTAAAGGCAGAATCTTCTAATTAATACATGATATGCATATGAATATTATATTATTTCTGACCCAGTTCGGGTCAGTTCGTGCTTGTTTTTTATTACTCTGCAGTTAATGTGACTGCCATACGAAAAGAGGGCACTTGTAGAACTGTTCACATTTGGGTGGAATACTTTTTAGAGAGGAATTTGTGATTAAAACTGGAATATATTTAACAGCTGGGTTCAGGGTACATCGTAGTCGAGCTGACTCGACTACAGCCTTCTTACTTGTTAGATTCGCAGTATGCAATGTCGTTAGAAAACAGATTTGAGTAAAAATTACAAATTTTTAGTTGATTTGACGCCAATGTATTGTCTGCTTAGTGGTTATACTCAACTTAGTTATAAAAATGTATTTATTTATTGCGCAGACGCTAATGATTATTTTCGGACTTATTACTCTTGCAATACGCGCTAAGATTTATATATTCCTAAAAAAAATACTAATTTTTCCTAACATTTTCTTTTTTCACATGAAAATATTTTTGGGTATGGATTATTTCTCGATCGACAATTAATTTTGGGCCATTCGGTTCGGAACAACATGCGTTCATATTGTCTAACATATACTTTAATCTTCCGGGATAAGCGTATGGCAATAAATAAGTAATAATATTCGGAGTACCGAAGAATCTTATTTAAATAAATAATAGTACATTCTTTTTATTATCATATGATATTATGATAATGTACGACCATAATATAGATAAAAGATTAATTAAATGTTCCTCAAAATTTGAAGTTGTTTTGTCAAAATTTTAGCAAATTGAATTGATAACTTTTTCAGTGTCAATCCTTTGATTGAACCATTTCGCAATGAAGATACGTGGGGATCTCCGACCTCAAAAGGAATATTACAGATTAGTGTCATTGGTTTAGCCTTACACTTATTTCTACTTGAAAAGGACCCCGACTTGTTCACTAACCAAGAATGTTTTGTTTCTAAATAGAGTTAATTTTATTGGTTTGCCTTGTTAAAAAAATATGAATTAATAAAAAAACTTTAATTATAAAAAAAAATTATTTCAATGAAAAATTAACAAAATGTCCGTCTGTCCGTCCGTCTGTATGAACACGCACATCTCAGAGACTATAAAAGCTAGAGACTTCAAATTTAGAATATAAGTTCTCGTATACCAGGCGCAGATCCAGTTTGCTTTATTTTGTCGATAACTACCTCCGTTTCTCGATTATCGGCACATTTAAATTAAGATCGATTAAGAAACACCCAAGTTATAGTCGAAAATATATCCTCATACTGATCTCATTTCTATCAGCAGCCGCAAGCCTTTTCTGTATGCATCAGTATAATAGACGCGAGCGTCAATATGTCTGTGTGTGTATTCTGCAGACCCCCGTTACCCCGTTATGATTGCGTGTACGTATATACATATGTATGTATTTATGTATATGTACGTGTTTGTTGCCAGTCAGCCAGGATCAGTTCGGGCTTGTTCAATGCCTGATCTTGCTATAAGAAATGAGTGCAATTGCAAACCTAGTCACATTTGCAGGCAAAACTAATTATAGAGAAATTTGCCACTAATTTTAGAATATATTTAACAGGTGGGTTCAAGGTAAATCGTAGTCGAGCTCACTCAACTACAGCACTCCTACTTGTTTTATTTTATTTTATCGATTTAAAAATCATATACATAAGAAAGGTTGCGAGAAATGAAGCGCCAAATTTGATATTCACATTGTCAATAATATTTATTAAATATTTTTGTAAAAATAAAGAATTTGTTAGTTTCTTGAGTGGATAATACTGAATACTATTGAAGAACAGCATGATATTTTGTAATGCTTATGCAACTTAAAAGTGTCGCAACTTCATAAAATGTCACAAAACGATTTATGATATATGTTTTCTCTTTTTGCCATACCATTTGTGCTGGACATTTGATCGACCTACTCAATCATCGACTAAAGTGCTGTCAGCGTGTAGAGTTCGATCCCAAAAGATGCCTCAAATCATATGGGGCAGCTCTGTCCCATCGACCAGGTGAGTTTCAGCCTGTCGGAGCTACAAGCTGTAAGTAAGCCAAGTAAGTTTAGTGTCCAGGCAGCGAACGTGGTTATCCTTAGATATGACCATGATTCATGAGTCGAACCGTTGCAGATACTGGATGTCATTGATGCAGATCTTCAGCTGGTTGGTATGATGAATAAGAAAGTCTCCTAGGCTTTGCTCCATTACCAAGAATCTTGTACATGATCGATCTTCTTGTATATATTTCGTTAACTGAAAGAGAAGAGAATAAGAACTGATGTGCTAAAAAAAAGGTTCTTTGGAATTGTAGCGAATGTGGCACCTGACCAAGAAGCCTCTGATCCGTCACGCAGTTTCTGCAAGTTATCACATATCAATCTAACCTGTTGGTTGTTAAATATTGTGACTCTGTGCTGTTCAACAAATGTAGAAACCCACCGGAACAGATAGCGAGTTGCTATTTTGCCCTAGAATCGGGAGCGAAGCAGTTCGTCTCTTCTTGCCGCCGACAATGGCAAAGGCAATGTCCAAAGGCAAAATCACACTTCACGCCTGATTTGCATTTGCTTGCGAGCCAACAAACATGTGCCGATGCCCCGGCATTGCCACACTCAGAAAAATCGCACGAAAATTAACCCCGCCCTAAAAACAATACAGTTTTCCTGGTCTTAGAAATAATTCAAAAAAAAAAAATTGTATAAGTTAGAAAAAACTTGCCTTAAAATATGGTGTTTTTTATTTTATTTTTTAGAACTGTTAAAAATGGCTAGTTATACATATAAAAAAAAAACAAGCTCAAAATTGGATATGTTTTGTTCTAGATCTTAGAAAAATGTACCCAAAAATGAAGAATAAAAAATGCATGGTTCTTAGAAATATGCATTCTGAGTAAGAAGGTGAGTTATCCATGGCGCCAAAATTATGGCGAATATCTACAATTTATGACCCTTTAATTATTATTCCACTTATACAAATTTCCAATAATTTGTTTGGGACAGTAGAATTAATTAAGTTGTGGAGAAGTTAATTTATTAAATATTAATTATTATCTTAAAAATTAGGAAGACTTGATTTAAATCGACAATCCCAAAAATTATGGTGTTTTTTATTTTATTTTTTTATTTTTTAACAAATGTTTATAAAAAATCTAATGTTATAAGCTATATATACACATGAAAAACAATTTTAAAATTGTATATATTTTGTTCCAGATCTTAGAAAATGTACGCAAAAATTAAGAAAATAAAATCCCATGCTTAAAAAAATATTGAAATATGTAGAAAGTATGTCGAATATTTAACATTCAATGCGATGTTTTTTTCTGAGTGCATGGAGACCGTGATTTATAACATGCGATTGGAATTTTAAGATCGATGTAGTGCGTAATAATAACTGTTGCGAGGAGCAGAGCAAGCCACTATTTGATTTTACCGGTTTGTCGGTCTCATCCAAAATGGCATTCAAGATGGCCGCAGCAAGCACTCCACCACAACCACCACCAGCACCACCAATACAAGATTTTCCTTTTTTGGGGGTGGAATCGGCACCGGCCGTCATGATACTTATGGCGAGAAAATGAAAAATTCGATGTCGCCATAAACATTTATTGCTACTTTGGGAAAACTCGATTACAGCCGCTCCCCCGACCCACTCAGCCCCCTGTCCAAGTCGTGTTCAAGGCGCAGCCGCCATTTTACGAGGCGCGCCTAGGCACTTATGGCATCATCAGGGCAACAGGACACGACACATGCCACAACGGTCCAGAATATATATTGAACGTCTGCTGCCCCTCAGAGAGCCCCGTAGAGCTGAAAGCTGAAAGGGATTTTGTGCTTAGTCAGGATGCAAGTTGGTGCGGCGCGGGGTTGGAAAGGAGGGTGCACATACGAGTACTCGTATCGACAGCAGTTTTATTGATGCTGGCACTCGGCAAAATGTATACAATTTTCATTTTTATAACTTTTACTCTTCAGTGCACGACTGCAGCCTTCGCGGCTAGCAATAAAACGAGCAAAATGTTCGCAATCATAAAAGTTTACGAGCCCAAGCAACCAAATTGGGTTTGTCCATCAAAAAGTTTTAAGCGAAAAAAGAAAATCATTTGAATTGAGACTAAAATATCTGAACACGTTTGGAAAACTTGTCATTTTTTACACTGGAGATTAATTTGAAACATGAACAAATACATTTCTCTTTCAATTTTTACCACATTCTGGATTGTTTTTGCCATTGTTGGCTGGCTGATTGCGTTGTTTTTCGAGGAGCGAAGCCTGATTCGATGCTGCGTCTTGCTGACTGCCGTCTGCTGCTGGATCGCCTGGCTAATTACGTTCCTAATGCAGATGAACCCGCTGATTGGTCCACGTACTGATCAGAGAATAATCTTAGGAATGGTTTCATACTGGCAAAACTCGTACATCCACAGCGAATTGGACCCCTAGCCGAAAGCAATGGCCGACAAACTGTTTGACCTGTCTCAAAGCATAATAATTAGTATATTAACATAATAATTACAATGGGAGCTTATAATAATTGATTGTACTTTCGAATGGGGAGCCATACGAACAGTTTGATCTATTGAAATTCAGAATATGAATTGGCCAAAATAATCCTTTGATATGCCGTTCAAATTTGTATCTAGATTTTACTTTGGTTGCGAAAACTTTTTAATATTTATAATTAAATGTCTCGAAATGCATAGTTCACAGAATAATCCTGATGAAGTTTGCAAAGGAGCATATAAATTACTTGTTGACAACGGAAAAGTGTAAAAATGTATTGTTCATAAGAAAATATTCGAAAACATAAAAAGTTTTAATTTTAACAATTATGTTAATTTGTTGCACATAAGAGAAAGCCACAAGGCGCAGATATTAATTGTAATATCAATTTAAATCAGAGCAGAATCTTGCTAAGACTAATACCAGTAAGACAAGTTGTCCTGGTCCTGATAAGAAGTTAAACATACGAAATATCCACTTTTCTATGACCAAAACTTTGTCATTGAACCCGGACTAGATGGACTCCGCAGTTCTTGAAGAATGCAATTGAAGAACGACAGTTACGACAATTAACTGTAAAATTACAGAGTATCAAGGACTCACATTTAACATTCACTTTTTGATGGCTGGAAACATTATCAAAACTCAAACAGTATCACTTGATGACATATCTAGTAACATAAAGTTTCCAGAAAAATATAAATAAATAAAATTATTAATTTTCATTTCAAATTTTCCCTTTTTACATACAATACAAACAACTTGATGACAAAAATGATTCAGATATAGTCGGATTCAACTATGACCAATATTCAAATAAATTCTCGTAAGCGTAAAAAAGCCGATCGGCTTATTTTGATTTCTTTTTGCGAAATGAATGGTAAAACAATTATTTTTAATGTGTATGTCGCTTAATAGTAGAGTAGAAGGAAAAGTTTGATGTATTAATTGCTGAATTTGAAAACAACAAATTAAATATAACTCGCCCAATTTATGGAAGTTAATATAACATAACATATAATAAATATTTCATATATTTTAATTTTAATCTAATTTTTAATTTAATTCAATTAGTTACTTTTTGTATTTTTTTTAGTGTGGACTGACTTTAACATTAAATAAATAAATAAATACAGTTGTCCAATTTTTTGCGGATATCTTGCTACTTTCATATAATAAATACGACTTCAACCAGTTTCTCTGCCACAGTTTCTTATATATATGCGTGATTTTTGCTCTTATTGGTTGTTTTCATCTATGCTCATCTTTAATTATATTATTATAAAAACTTTATTAATGTAATCCCAAAAAAACGATTATTTTTCTCGAAATATCAATGTCAATTGCTTGTGACATTTATATTGCCATACATTTCATAACATCAATACGAAATTCGAAAAATCTTCGGAAAAAACTCCAAATACTCGGATGCGAAGAACATCTGCAAACTTTCGAGAATGCAAGAAATAGGTTAGTGGAATCAGGCTTATTGCACAGCTTGTCTATTGAGGATTAAAGATACTCAGAAATTATTGACACAACTCTTGGAAGAACAGGAAGATCTTATCTGCCCAGAGTGTTATTATGTGTTCGAAAAATAGACAAAAGTCCTGATTACCGCTATGAATATGCATAGATCTGACAATCATTTATTACGAAAGGTTATATAAGGATGTCGAGTGCTTCAGATGTTGATGTTCATCCAGCATTGACTTGCTGCTTTAAGTTTTCAAACGAAATTAACCTGATGGGTTTAGGTTTGTACAAAAAGTGACATATTTTGTTTCAGAGACTTTCGATCTGACCTTTTCGAATTGTTTGCTGTTCCAATGAACTCCCGAGAACTTTCGATGGCTTTTGTTGTAACGCAGTCCCCAAGATACCATATTTTGACATTTGCAACTTGCTATTAAACGTGACTTGTTCAAAAACACCCTTTAATTATTATTCCACTTATACCAATTTCAAGCAATTAGCTAAATTTTGGAAACTTTAATTAATTGGGATGTGGAAATATTAATATATTAAATATTAATTATTATCTTCAGGCTAACCCTCCGCAGATAAGGCAACAAATATCTTTAACATATCCTTAGAATCTATTTGGTTGAAGAAAAACTATTTCATAATGGGAACGAGTCTGCGTGTGCCTTAGACAATGGAACAAATGTACAAAAATAGGTTAATACTGATTGCGATATAATCTAAATCTAATTGCAATACCATATATTTCAATATTTTCTAATTTGAAAATATATTTAGAACAAGAACTTGGCACATTTGGTACGTATCAAGATTAAAAGATAAATGCAAGGAACGAGTAAATAGTAAACTGACAGCAATGGAATTTATTTATTGAATGTCAACTAAAGACAGTCGACAAAACAAAAGCAAGAAGTAACAAATTGAATTAAATTTAATTTAAAATAAAGTTTAAAATTATATGTAAATTAAAAAATAATAAATATTTTTAAGATTTATTATTTAAAGGCATGCAAAATTTATTGCATGAATTGGGGAAACCGCAATCAGACCAAAAAAAGTTAATATCAATTAGTTAAGCCCCATTACAAGTGCATGTGAAAAAGTTTTTCACGAGATAATACATTTAAAATTGAGTTCTTAAAAACAGAATTGTAATCATTACAGAGTACTCGAAACGGTTCATGCAAGAAATAATTAGTTGTTCAACGATTAAGAGAAAGTAAAAAGTAACGAGACAGTTTAGAGGGAACAGAAAAATGTATTTAATTCATCAACGCAGCGGAATCAATCTCACCATTAAGTTATTTTCCTACAAACATCACCCCAAGCATAAAACAACGATTACTTAAGGAGGGAAGGTTAATAAGGAGCAGTGCACCCAAGTCATAGCGACAAAGAAGAAAACGTAAGAAACGCTTCTGCACAGATTCCAATCTACTTTGATATTGCGGAGATCACACACAAGAGAAGTCAAAAGTGTCTTGGTCGTGTAAAGGTCATCAAATTCTTTTGAACAACGCTTAATAAAATCAAGAACTTGAAAGGCTTTGTTGACAGGGAGTTTAATATGACTATCGAATTTTAATTTATGATCAAGAAGAGAACCTAAATCATTTACTTCATTCAGTTTATCAAGTGGCATCAACAACCTGAGCAGAGCTACGATAAAATTACCTTACACGTAGAGAAGTTCAAATGGAGCAAATTCATTCTACATCATGACAAAAATGAAAGAGAGTGCGCATGAAATAAGCATTGAGAGGTCATATCATTATACGTCAGACACAACTTGACGTAATCAGCATACAATACTACGTTAGAATACAATATTATAGAAGAAAAATGCAAAAATCTCCATACTTAAGAGGGTTCAGCAGTACGGCTTCGCAAGTGAACTAGATTTATAAAAGAAAACAAATATTGAATCATTGTCACTACTACTCTCAAATGATGGACTCATAAAACTGAAAGGATGATTGGACAAAACTGACCGACGAAAACTATAAAGACCTCACAATGACCGAATTACTAATAATAAAATGCCAAATGAGAATTGAAGAAAGTTCACAGATTTTAAAAAAACATTTTTTTAAAAACGTTGTTAGTTAATATAAAACATTGTCGTTGTAGTTAATATAAAACGCAAATATATTATTTCAAAATTCAACGCAAAATTTATATTAATTCAAATATATATTTTGAGTCGTTACAATGCAATATTCTGATTAGCTTACGCTTTGTATGTGGGGCAATGCTGTCAATTTTTTTAAAAAGTCAGTTATTTTATTGTGTTATTGACAATGTCCTAAAAATTCATTGAAAACTATTTTGAACGTAAGCCTTTCCCCAGATTGATTAATACTCTTCTGCGTTGTTGGCCAATCGCTTCCTTGACATCAGTTTGTGTTAATTTTGTAACTTCATCATCTTTATTAGAACCGATGTCATCTGGATTCGATTCGATCTTCAGTTAGTTAGTTGGTGTTACAAGATGTAAATGATATTATTGAAAAATATCTGTGATTGTTAAAGCTATGGCATTTTACCTCTCAATAGCGACCCAAATGGAAGAAGTCTGGTAAGGATTAATAGAATAATTTAAACAATATTTGTGTTACCTTTTGAGAGAGCAATTTCCTCAAGAGTAAGAAGGCTTTAAGACTTTGTTTTCTGGAATTGAATTTGTGCTTAACGGCAGATCATATATTATTGTAGCCACAGAATCACAAATGGACCGTGTTCATAAAGCATATTTGTTTGTGTTATCCACTTTTTTGTTAGTAAATTTATAGTTCTAATTTCTAATGTGTATTTTGTAATTAAATTAAATGTCCAGGCTTGTGTATTCTTATAAACTTAATTATAATTGTTATATATGTGTGTATATAAATTATTATAGGTGGTTTGGAAAATATTTTACAAAGTAGAACTACATTAATTTGTTTTAAATAGAAGCCTACTAGAAGCAATATTTTTAATACAATTATTTGATTGATATATAATATTCTCGAGCCTCTTCCTGTAATTTTAATAGTTGCTCTACTATGGAAGTCATAACTGAAATAATTTCAAGGAAGATTAAAAAACAATTTCAGAACCTTACTTTGAACTATTTGAATCTTTCTTTTTATAGGAGATATTAAATTCTGATACGGGTAATTATTCTATCAAGGGCAAAATAACACCGAAATATTTTACATTACTTTCCCAACGGAGGCCTTTTAATGGAAAACACAAGATTGAAATCTTCTAAAAATATGGAATATTATTGATTTGATGCTGTACAGAAAAAATTAACAAGTCTACTAAGAAAACATGTTAGGGCTCATTAACTTAAACAATTATATTGCTATAACAAACAATAAATAATAACAATGTGTGCAGCACATTAGGAGTGCAAATGTTGCTGAAATGTTGCAGCAACTTGTGGCTCTATTTATCTGCTGCATCACCGTCGGTAAACCGCAGTTACACAGTGTGTTCACCCCAATTTTTTTTTTTTCTTTTTCCCCCCTCTTTTTTAAAATATTTTTTTAATTTTTTTTTTTTTTTTTTTATTTTTTTTTAAAATTTAAAAATTATTTATTTTTTATTTTTTTTTTTTTTTTTTTTATATTTATTTTTTTTTTTTTTCCTTTTTTTAATAAAAATTTTTATTTTAATTTATAAACCATCAACAACATGGTCATACCTCAGGTGAACTATGGTCGCTATCTTGGTATGTATTTGGACAGGAAACTTACCTGGCGCAAACACATCCATATCACGGCAGCAGCGTGTAGATAAAAAAAACGAAACTCAACTGGTTGCTGAGGCCTTCTAGCAAACTCAGCTTGAGCAACAAGCTGCTGGTGTACAGGAGCATCATCGTACCCACATGGACATATGGGATTCCATTTTGGGGCACAGCTGCAAAATCTTGGACAAACCAAATTTAAGTCTTGCAGAACAAGGTGCTCAGATACATCTCTGGTGCTCCACCATACGTGAGTAACAGAACACTGCACAACGACTTCGCTCTACCAACAGTCACACAACAAATTAACCGACATACGAATTGGTATAATGACCGGTTGCATAACCACGTCAACTCTTTGGCTTTCACACTTGGGTCAAATACAACGCGCTGGAGGTTGAAGCACATCCACCCCAGCGACCTCTGGACTCTTGGGCTTTAAATTAATGTGCTACAAATGTAATATTTAATGTTATTTATTATCTGCTAAAACCAGTTATATGTTTATGTTATAGATTTTAATTCACTACTGTTTTTCATTCATACCTTTACAAATCAATGTTTTATAGCCTTTCAATAGGTTGATTAATGTTTAAGTAAATTGCTTCACAAAAAAACAAAAAAAAAAGAGTTTATAAATGCATACAATTTAATTTGAAATAAAAAAACGTACGATTTTATTGCGATTTAGACGACAACTAAACTCCAATATAACATCCGAGCCACTAAATTTCTTACATTTAGAAAGGATTTGTTCAAAAAATGAGTGGTTGCATTTATTCATTTTAGAAATGCATTTCTACACAATGGAAAATATTTCCACTCCTATGCAACGGATGTTTGAAAGGCTAAGCTAGAAATTCTGCGCCGATTTCATAATCATAAAAGAAATACTTTTACAAATATATTGGTGAAAGTAGACAGCAAACTTATCGGTCACAGCAGGAAGTGTTAGATGCAAACAATGGAATTAAAAAGCAGCAATAAGAAAATCACTCTCCCAAGTAAAAAAGCCGTAATAACTTTGCCGTCGGCATCATCAGAGCCTGAAGCTTGGAACTTGGGGTCTTGCTCTTTAAGCAATTTAAATCTAATCTCTAACTAAACCAAGCACCGAAAGCACACACACACACATACAAAATAAACCAATTTTTTCTTCTTCCAGATCAAAACAAATAAAAAGGTTTCAATGAAACATTGCCGAAACAACAAAAATTTGAAATCTTTTTAATAAGAGCTGGAAACAGGTGGAAAACAAGGTGATGAATAAATGCAAACAATTTTGAACATTTCTTCTAATATTATGAAATTTATCCTCATTATTACATTATAATTATGATTATCAGATTTTAGACCGATTACACAAACACTCATATAATCCCGACATAAAAATGGTTGTAAAACGCCATCTATGGTTTATTATGCGTACTGACACATTTCTTATTAGCAAGCGCACAAACCAACTTTAATTTTAAGCCTGTCAATAACTGCCTGCTCCAAAACTCAAATTGTATGGTAACAATCCGAATTATCTGAAAATAATTTCTTTTAAAAAGCAATTATTATCGTCAGCCTTAAGATTCATATCAACGTAGATATAAAATTTGATATCTAATGAATTTGTGTCTATAGAGCCATTCGACGTTTATAATTTTAAGTAAACATATAAATATTATTCAGAATCCTGTAAAAGCAAACAGTTTTTTTTTAAACTTTAAAATTAGATTTTGAGTATTGATAGTCATACGTAGAAGGTTTTATCAACTCTGCCGTTAAAGTTATCAAGAATATATATGCGTGTGTACAAAACAAAACAAATTTGGAAGCTTAAGCTACCATGTATGATTCTTTTTTTATGTGTTTGTTTATTTTATTTATAGAATTAGAACACAACAAATAATAGACTACATTACTTATTATTAAAGACACCAGGTCAAGAATGAATCAATGAAACAATACAACAATATAACATAAAACACGCATATGAACGCATGTTTGTATTTAAGCCAATGTTTCACAAAAAAACAAGAGTGCGCCAAACATTTATCAATATCTATAAAAAAATAAATAAAATGTGCAACAATATATTAATAAAATAACTTGAATTAAATTAAATATTTAAAATATACCTTCTAACTTTCAAATAATGCAATAGTAGATTATTTATATAATAAATAAATATTTTATATGCCTGATCTTTGTACTATATTTAGTATATTTAAAAGCTTTGACTTGTCTAACAACATTTTACTGACTTGCCGTGAACTAAACATATAAAATAATTACTATCTAACTAAACTCATTTATAGACAGATACATTATACATTCTTTGCTCCTTATTACTGTGAATAGAAGAGAAATATTGTTCTGCTGTTGCTACTGCTACCAACTTTAGCAGAAAAAGTGAATAAAATGCTCTTTCGCTCCTCTCTTTCTCTAACAAGAGCAACCAAAAATCCTTCAGAAATTACTACAGAGAGCACCTATGTAGTTGAAGCTTGTGCTACTGCCACAAGATCTGCCACAAGATCTGCTACGTGATCTGCTATCAATCACTGATTAGGTCTTAAATAGATATTCACCTGTAATAGTTTGCTTTGAAAGGCCCAGCCTTGTTCAAACCCAGGAATTTGGACTGCGCCGTGGTCAGCTCGGTCAGTTTGGCATCAAACGACGACAAATGCAAGCCGGCCACGTATTCATCTGTTTAAGTCGAAAATCAAATAAAAATTACTTTTAATCGAATTTAATTGACTCACCCATCTTCTTTGGCAGCAGATACACATCGGACTTGTAGCGCCCTGGCGATGAGAAGAGCTCGATGAGCGCCAGTGCCTGTGTCGAGGAGGCCACGGAGACGACAAAGGATGAGACGGTGGAGCAGGACAGATTAACCAAACGTCCCTCGGCCAGCAGGATGATCATCTTGCCGTCGGGCCAAATAATGTGATCGACTTGAGAGCGTACATGCTGCCAAGTCATCTCCGGTGTGTGCAGGCTGCTCACATCGATCTCGGAGATGGCATGCCCCATGTTGCAAAGGATGCAGCCGTTCTTCATGCGATTCATGTGGTCACGAGTGACGACATGCTTGTTGCCCGTGGCACTCACCACCACATCCACCGTACGAATGACTTCCGCCAGACGCACCACTCGGAATCCGTTCATCGCCGCTTGAAGTGCACAGATCGGATCCACCTCTGTTATGTAAACGATGCAGCCCTGGCCACGCAGCGCCTCGGCGCAACCCTTGCCAACGTCCCCGTAGCCACAGACTACCACCTGCTTCCCGCCAAACATGATGTCCGTGGTTCGCTTCAGACTAGTGCAAAAAGTGCAATAACAAAGAAAGTTTAGAAAGATTTTCTTGTTTTTAGAATTAATTAATATAAATTAAAAATAATTTCTATAAATTAGAAAGGCTTGCCCTAAGTCGACAATTCCAACTACTTTTTATTATTTATAAATATTTTCTATATGTATTTCTAAAAAGCACTGCGGCAAATCTTGGGTAAACCAAATTCAAGTTTTGCAGAACAAGGTGCTCAGATATCTTTGGTGCTCCACCCAATGTGAGCAATAGGATGTGAGGCCTAACAACAGTTATGCAATAAATAATTCCATATACGAGTCGATATAATGACCGGTTGCATAACCAAGTCAACTTGGCTCAAACACCACTCGCCGAAGATTAGAGCGTGTCCACTCCAGCGACCTCCGGACTCTTGGTCGTTAAAATGAATGTATTCAATATTTACTGTTATGTGTTATCTGTTAAAACCGTCCTTATTTATTATTATTATTTTAGTTTATGTGATAGACTTTAAGCTCCTGTCATTATTGCTTCCTTGACAAGTTAATGTCTTATAACCTTTCAATAGGTTGATTAATGCATAAAATACAAATGCTACATAAAAATAATAAATATATATATATATATATATATATATATATATATATATATATATATATATATCTTCAGAAACTCAGAAGCAAGTAATAAAATCTAAGAGTTCTGCTTTTGTATTAGAGTTTAGATGTCGTCTGCCTTAGAGACCGAGTTGTAGTAAAGTCGTAAGTTGTTTCAAACTAAATTTTATGAATTTATAAATGATCTAAAATATTTGTAAATGTGAATTTTTGAAATTAAGCCAAAAAATAAGCTAATTTGAATTTTGCTCGCCTGAAGAAAGAAGAAAATATAAACCCTGCTTTTGAGAAATACGTTTTCTGAATAATAAAATTGAGTTAATCGTGGTGTCAAAAGTATGGCGAATTTCTGAAACTCAGGGCGATTCTTTTTAAGATTTGATAGAAATACATATATATATATATATATATACCTGTCCAGGATGGAGTCGCGAGCTGTGTAGTAAGTATCAAACTTATTTTTCGTCACAGAGTCATTCACATTTATTGCCGGCACGGTGAGTTTGCCGGCCTTCGACATCTGCAGAGAGAAATGTGTTCGATTAGAGAAATTGGCAATTGGGAGACGTAGTTTGGATACGCACCTGGTAGAGTCGGTGAACACCTGTCAAACTCTCCTCGACAATGCCCTTGATCGACTTAAAGTACTCCGGGTATTTCTTGAGCATCAAATGGGTAGCATCGCCGCCATCATCCAATATCAGATTGGGTTGCCAGCCCTCGGAGTGTATGCACTTGTCCAGGCACCACCAAAACTCCTCTTCGGTCTCGCCGCGCCACGCAAAGATCGGCACCCCAGCCTCGGCCAGGGCGGCTGCCACCGCGTTCTGCGTGGAGAAGATGTTGCAGGACGCCCAGCGAATGGATGCGCCCATTTGCATCAGAGTCTCAATGAGAACCGCCGTCTGCGCATTGATGTGAGTACAACCCACAATTTTGGCGTTCAACAGCGGCTTGTCGTCGGCGGCACGCTTACGCAGCGCCATAATGCCCGGCATCTCCTGCTCCGCAATTGCAATTTCCCGGCGTCCGAAGCCGGCCTTGCCAATATTCTTCACGCAAAAATCATTGCTGCCACGTGTGTTGACCTGCTTCACATCCTTGGGCGAGACATCGTCCTCCTCGGATGTTCCTGTGAAACATGCTGTAAATGATAAGAAAAAAATTAAACATTTAAGTTAATTATACTTGACCTCAGCGCCGATCCCTACTTACCCGAACTAAAGGAGCATGTGGAAACATCGGAAAATCGACGAGCAATCACGCTGGATTTCCTTACAGCAGTCTGTGGTGAGCAATAAGCGAAATTATCAGTTTAAAGTGTTGGTAAAATAATTATTATTTACAACAATTACTGTAAGAAATGATCCAAATAATCAGTTGAAGCCATTGTGTCAAATCGAAACGAATTTATGGGAATATTCCAAATCTGATAAGAGCTCCGGTATTTTTCCAAACTTACGGCACAATACAAAAGGTTTAACTATTAAATGAGTACTTTCCAGTCGGGTGTTATTGACTACGGAATACTCTGATACCATTTATGCAAAAAAAAAAAAAAGACTACATACTACAAATTTGGAATATAACTGCTCGTATACCAGCCTACAAAAATGATGAACATGCAGTTCCGACTCCGATTCCCTAGCTTCAACTTTGAGTCATTAGTCAAAAGATTTATTGGGGTACGGTCGCAGTAAATTGAATTTTGAATTAATAGAGCTTGCAATAATTTATAATATACCTTAACCAGTCTCGCACAGAAACAGGCCTCGATTCCTCACAGACTCACAGACCGAGGCGAATATGATAATTGGAATTAATTAGAGTAGCTGCGCTAATACGTTGAGCCAATTGAGGCTCTCAATGCGAATCGTAAGACGAATTGATAATCGCATCCTCATATATACATTTGTCGAATCACATGCCAATATCTAATCTAATTAATTAATTCGGCAAATTTGTACTTTATGCATCTGTATACACACATCTGCTAACTCTTGTGTACATTTCGATAGCCCTCTTGTGTAAACATTCAAAATACATTGTTATTCAATGTATACACTTGGTTAAAATACACTCGGAATAAAAATCGCATGGACAACTAAAATGTAAAATGTAAAACAAGTAAATAAATTATTTACCTCAGTTTAGTTTGACAAATTAATATATGTATGTGTGAAATCTGCAAATACTAATTCTATATATATACAGAAATTTAAAATCTTTTTCTTAAATGTATAAAAATGGAAAGTTGAGTTGAGAAAACAAAGAAATATAATTTTTCAATTACAAACTGAGCTACACTTGGCGTGAGAACTACGGCGATTTTATAAATATCAGGTCGATTTTTTTCCGAGTGTAAAACACACACTCACACGTGCACATGCACACAGGCGAGCATACCGTAAATTACCAAAGCTTCTGCTTTATATCTGCTTTGCAAAACTTGCGAGAACTTTATTCTGCTCTGCTCTGTGTTTCCGAAATTGTCACGTGCGCATTCGCATTGAGTAATATAATGAGTCGTGACTTCTTCACTATTATTATTATATTAGAGTGAACTTAGCGATTATATATATACATATATATATGTATACATATATAACTATCTTTACACTTGATAAAGTTTTGTTTTGTTACCTTATCAGCCAGGCTCAGGTCGGCCATTGTTGTCTCCGGCATTTTACTCATTTTAACGAAGTTTTTACTGTAAAAATATCGAGTAAATATTATTTACATCGTCGTTCAGCGACCTTCGTGAAACTCACATTTAGACAATGACAATATCAAAACTGGTTCTATGTCTGTGTCTGTCTGTAATTCCAATATGTTTCAAGATTGTCAACAATCGCCGTAATTTTTTTAATTTTTTTTTAATCAGCTGTTTTTGATCACCCACGAGACCAGCTCAACGGATCAACGGATTTGGTTCGGGCCGTTGACTAAACGCAAACGTTTAATAAAGTCTCAAGTCTCACAACAAGTGCGCCTCGCTCGAGATCGTCGCACAGTCGAACTCAATGCGCTTTCCCTCAGCCGCCGTCTCCGTCTTTTTCTCTATCTACGTCACTTGTTGTTATTGTTGTTGTTGTTGTTGCTGTTCTGTTTCTATGTCAAGTGTCGAACGTGGAACGTAGAACGTGGAATGCCGATGCCTCGATGCCGATGCCGATGCCGATGCCTTCGTGCGCTCTCGACGTGCGCAAACAACAAACTGATTCACATCCACTGGTACTGGTTATGTTTATGGGGAGCAGAGCGATCATATAGATATAAAGAAAAATAATACAAATAAAGAACGCCAACTGTGACTGCGAGCGAGTGCAACAGCAGCAGCAGCAGCAGCAGCAAATAGGCGAGCACAAAAAATTGCTCACAATAAAAGCGAACCAACAAAAGCAAGCATCTTATCTCAGTTGTTCTGTTATCGCTCTCGCACGTTGTGCCCGTGCTTCGGCTCTCAGCCCGAGCCGAGGTATTCCTCTGCCGCCTGTCATCTTCACCTGCGTCACCTGTGTCACCTGCTCGGCATACGGCTTGAAGCAGAGCGCTTATCACTGTTGACTTCGCTTGCATAGCGGCCGTGGAAATCAATTGGGCTGGATTGACGTCGACATGCATACTCATATATCGCCTATATCTCGGTTAGTAAATCGCCCTATAAAATATAACGATAGAAATACTTTGTAAATTTGCTTAAAATTCAGCATGACTTGCCCTAAATCGATAGTCCCAAAAATATGGCAATTTTTTCTATCCTTTAAAAACTTTTTTCTACTAGCTTAACTGTCGATATGCAAAACTTTATTTTTAGAAAAAACGTAATGAAATTTGCTCTCCCGACTGCTACACTCTGCTAATTTCGATTAAGGGCACTTGATTTCTTCTTTATAAAATTGAAAATAAAATATTTAAAATTTTTGGTATGTTTTAAACGTCAAATAAAAAGGAATAAAATTTGTAAAATTAACATAACATTTTTTATTAATTTTTTTTAAGTGAGATTAAGGTGCGAAATTCGATTAAAGGCAGTGCTAATAAAATTAATATAAAATGTAGAAATTACATGAAAATAACAAATTAATAATTTAATTTCAGCATACACATATATTGAATTGCCCTAAGTTTTAGTAAATCTCCCTAAAAATTTAGTAATTCGCGCTAAAAATTATTTAGAAATACTTTGTAACTATTAGAACAAAATTTGTCTAAAATTTAGACAGCCTTGCCTAATTCGACAATCTCAAAAATGTGGCTATTTTTACAATTCCTTACAAGTATTTGCTACTGGCTTAGCCGTCGTCTGCCTTGGAGGTCAAGTAGCTTCCAGGGAAGTTAATTAGTTTTAACTTAAACTAGAAGAAACTATAAATATTTATGGTCTATGTCAAATGTAAAAGAAAAGTAAATTCTTAATAATAACATCCTGAAATTATACATTTCTGCGTGTGTAGATAGGAAAAGTTTTTAAAGCAAATAAAACAAACGGAGAAATGCTTAACGTGTCTCAGAACATAATTAGAACTTTATCTTGTTGTCCTTGTGTCTTGCGTTAAATGGGCTAAAACGGTGTCATAAAAGAGAGCGTGTGTTTATTTAGCAGGCTGATTATGACATCTCCGCCCCATAAGACATGTCTGTCTGCTTGAGGTTGTCGATCCCACAGAGATAACTAATTTTAAAATAAATATTCTCATTTGGCTTATAAAAACGGTAACTATTTATTTTCAGAGGCTTTTTTTAGAAAACACCATCGAATACACATTTGAAAGAGCTAAAGATCTCAGATGTAAGCTTTTGGATAGCATACACATAATTCTTTGACAGCCAATAAACTTACAAACACAAAAAAGATTAAAAATTTTAAAAAATTAACTTCGAGAATTAAAAATAAAATTTAATAATATTTTAATTTATTGATTTGAAATTCATATAGTCGAGTTTAAATTTAAAATAGAAAATGGGTATGTTAAAATGTAAATAGAAAAAGATTTCTTTCTGTGTTAATAATCTTTGTTTGAGCATTAAAATATGTTTATCAAATTTCGTGGAATTTACATGTTTTTCTCTTTCCGTTTCTGTTAATTTTATTAAATAAAAATTTTTTTGTTGCTTGTGACAAATATATGCATAGTAGAAAATTTGCAAATAATCTTTTTATAATAATATTTTACCCATGATTTTACTCTTATATGTACTCTTCGGACGGCCCAAGATATCCGTTTTCTCTTGATCGAGATAGGCGTTGACTTACATTAGAGCACTTAGCGTACAATAGATGTATATATGTATGCTTAGTGATTACTCTTAAAACTCATCTTTCAACTGATTTTATCTATGGCTGTAATCAGCAAAAGAGTTCTACTCATGAATTGAGACGGAAAAGAATAAAGAGATAGAAATATATCTGAACTCGTGATATTAAATAAATGTACTACAGTCAAAAACTGGCAGAGATTTCCCGGAGATATGTTAAAATTGAAAAGAAAATTAAAGAAGAGAAAGTTTAGCAGATATTAGGTGGCACTGAAAGTTTTTGTACGATTGATAAATAACGAAAACAGGGTTGTGCATAAAAAGGGAAAGTTTCTAGTGGGTCTACTATGAACAGAAAAGTTAAGATGAGCTAAAAAAAAAACGGGGAATCTATGTTATTATATTTTACTATTAACTTAAGTAGGAAGATTACACTGATAAGATACGGTTAATAAACAAGGGAAGATTATATTTTTAGAGATTGAAAGCTGAAGATAAATAAGACTTCTATCTTCACTACTAGAATTGGTGTAGTTCGTGTAAGGTGGCCATATTTTTAATCTAACAAGTGGCACGATTAGAGAGATACCAAGACACATATTAATTTATTTCGACATCCATCGAACAACATCAGAAGTAAAACAAGAGAGAACGTTGCAGTCAGGCATATCCGACTGTGAAATACTTTGATACCTTTGATAGGATGGGTGTAGCCAAGAAATACTGTCCAAGACTGCCATTCAAATTGCGGTTGAAATAGCCTAGTAATCTTACATCCAAGATTGGTGATTATAGCTCTTAAATTACGGGAGATATGGGCTTTTATTGTTTTTGGGGGGCGTGAGTGGATGTGGTCAAAAATGTTTTTTCTTGATTTTTGCAGGATGTCTAGATGACTAGCAGTATACCTTTCAAATTTGGTGAGTCTAGCTTTCAATTTGTAAGTTATGTGAGTTATTTGGTTTTATCGATTTACATTAAGTGTATCGGTTTGAGAAGGCTTAGTGGGAGTGGCGATTCAATTATCCAATCGATCTCTACAAGTAACATACTTTCAAAATTTGGTGATTCTACCTACTTACACCCAAATTCTGGAAGTTTTGCAAATTTATAAATATATTTTATCGATTCTTAAGGGCAGTTGCCAATAAAATACCTAGCAAATTTGAAGGCTCTCACTCAAAAACTTCGAAAGATATTTAAAATTATGAGCAATTGAATTGAAATTGTGGGATATATGTGGCTTTATCGATTTCTGATGACCGATTTTATCGATTTCCTAGCCTCCTTCGTCTAACATGGGAACAGACAAGTATACAATCCAAGCTTCAAGTCTTTATATCTAATTTAAGGGTGTCGACTAAAGTTGCGTTTATATAGACGGACAGGCAGGTTTGAAACGTTCTGTACCAGAGTATAAAAACACAATATTTTTGGCATTTAGAATACATTTTGTTATAGTTGGAAATTATTCCTAGAAACAGGAAAAATATCTATAGAAGCAGAACCTTGACTTGTTAATCCAAAATGTACGCGCTTCCTAAAGCCAAACACTGCTTAAATTAAATTGCAAAAGCGAAAAATCTGAGGGATTCTGTTTTAGTGCGTCTATAAAGACTGTCATATTGAGGGTTGGATGTTGAGGGATGCGCATTAAATATATTTACTACGTGCCGTTCCGCCATTTTAGTCGCGAATGCCCAATGAGTTGAGGGCAGAAAATTTAATTAGATGTCCATGTACCTTTTAGCGTGCCCATAAAATGGAGGAAATCTAATAAGGAGTCCCTAATGAATCATCCACCACCAAATAACACTGGGGATGCTGTGTTCCGTCTAAGCATTGTTCGCACATTCCACCTTCCACTGGCGCAGCGTGAATTGAGGGCGTTGCAACATGGTCCGCTTACCCTTAGGAAACCCAGTTTCACATCTACGAATATCAAATGATTTAATCACACTGTGCATTATGCACTTCCTGGTAGGAGCCAGTGAATCTGCTACCGTCTATTGTCAGTGATGAGTATTTATAATGTCGGGATGTTCTCTGTTGTATTTGTAATACCTAAATATTTTTACCCTTATTTATAAAACAGTTTTGAGTTGGTTTCTTTTTTGGCTACAAGCGAACAAATTTAATTGTATCACATTTTGTAGCGCAACTTTTATAGTTCGTTTATTATTAAGTAAATTTAACCCAGAAACATTTATGTAACAACTCAATTTTATTTAAACAATTTGTTAAACCATAAATAAAAATACGCTTTGCTTAAACTCAAAAACAACATTGCCCTGCATTTTAGTCTCCCAAGTCTCCCTAAAAATTAGATCGTTTGTATTTGGGTTTTGCAATAATTTTTAAATATAAGAAAACATTTTACTTAAATCTGAAATTTACTCTCTTTTTCTGCTGTATTAGATTTTAGCTGCTAACTAATTCAATCTGAAATCTTAACTAATCTGAAATCTTAGCTAATTAATAAAATTAATTTCATTTCAGAGGGTCATTCTCCTTTCCACAGTCATTTTGTATATATATTCTTGACCAACATCACTAGCCAAGTCTATTGCTATGCGAACTGGGCTGTTGTATGAACCACATTTTCCTTTACAAAGATATTTGGACTAAACTCACATGTTACGTGCTTTATTGAATCATTCAAATTATAATTGAATCATTATAGCATTTAGCTTGCAAAGCAACAATCAATCACACTTTTTTCCCCAACAACTTTTCAAGACAATTTTGAATCATCTGTCACAAGCGAACTGGTTTTTTATAACCTGAATCCAGTATCCCGGAAATAATTTTTAACACAAAAACCTTAAGTAAATTGAAATTGACATTTAATTTTTCTTTATACAAATGACAGTCTGTTTGTGTTGGAAAATAAAGGTGTGTTTCGTCAATATGATTAATAAAAATTACGCGATTAAATCTGAAATCTTCTGTGTGGCAAAAATAAAAATTGGGGACAAGATTAATTAGGCTGGACAACAAATCATTAAGATCGGGCTACTATATTATTATTTTATTTTTCTGGTCGGCTCTTTACATTTAGAGTACAATTGAAATGTCGGCAATTTGACTAGGATTTACAAGGGTATAAATAACTGTTCGTTCTTCTTATTGTTTTTTATTTTTATTAATAAGCAAGCAATTACATTAAAATAAACGATTTTTTGTAATCAAATCATTGCCATTAATCATTTGGTGAAGCGTTGAACCTATTCAGTTGAACGGCTCTTTCCCTAAAATAATTCTGCATCTAAATCTACAAAAATAAAAGTAATTTTGTTATTTTAAATATCTTTATTGTTCAGAGATGAAATCATTTCTTTGCAAACAGTCTGTTTTCATCTGCACTTAAGGCCATCGAGTTACGTCTATTAGCATTTATGCATTATTTACATTTACATTTACATATTGTATTATAATTAAACCTACTCATGTCTATATACAGAAACTAAATCTTAATACCTTCAATTGATATACAATTTACATTCGTATACACATACATATATCTATAAATAGAATATATATATCGCTTTCACAGTGAGCCGGCCTTTTCCATGAGGTACCAGGGCAGGAAAACAGACGCAGCAACAACAGCTACGCATGTGGCACAGAGGGCTAATGTCGATGATAGATTTATGACTGACATGTTGTCGGCTTTGTGATCCAGATCCTCATTCGGATGCTTTTCAAACTCCAAAACCTCCACGTCGAACCGGAATCGAACCTTGGCTGATGGTGAGTCCTTACACCACACCAAATGGCCGGATGATTCTCGCCGCTCGAGGTTCCATTTCGCATCGTGAACTGCAAAAATTGAGATAAATAATTATATTACTAAATCAATCAAAATCAATATGATTTCTGTCAAACATTTGTGACATTGATCAGACCAAAATTAAAAAATAATTCAAATTAATTAGTGAAGATGCCCAACCACAAATGCATGAGGCGAAACGTTGAAAGTGAAGTTCTTAATGACAAAAATAGAGGACACTGAATTGAGAACAGGAAAACGTTTATTGTAATCATTACAGAGTAATCAAAAATCTTTATGCAACAACGGTTATGAGAAAATGGGAAGCAGTAAAGGGAGACTTCTTATGTACTTCACCAGGCCCGATCAATCAGTGAATTTTAAATTTGAGTAGCATACTTTGAGGCTCACGAATAATAATACTTATTTAATTTGGTCCACACAAGGGATAATTGGAGGGATTAATTTTATCATACGGATCCCATAGGAATCGATTGAAAAACTTATTTTTAAGTTTAAGACGATCTTTCTTGATTTGTTTGAGTTTAAATATACCAGAAAGTGGTTTTTCTTGAGACATTAATACGGAATAATTATATTATTAACTTATTAACCTGTTAGAAACGTTAGGTATTAGATAAGAATTCAAAAATTGTCATAAATATGTTTAATATTTAATATTTTCTACAGAGGTTACACATCCAGCTGCAGGGATATTGTGGAAGAGAGACACAGAAATTATTTATGTAAATCATGCATTTTAAACGATATTACTATAAACTTTTCCATTCGTCGTACCCATTTTGTTATGATCTAACATAAATTATCTTCAATCTGGCATTTTCAACTCGACTATTGATGCTGCTTACATATGAATATTACAAGATGTATTTATTTTGAAAATATATTTACCTGATCCTGTCATTTTACAACTTTTTGATAAAAGATTAATCTGAAATATAAGTAAAAGCAATCAATTAGAAAAATCAGCTAGAGTGTAAACAAGCAAACAGCTTATAATTATTATTCAGCAAGTGTGCGGTGCATTGACCTTCATTAGAATTGCGCCCATGGAAATTGAAACAGACACCTCGACACATTACACGTTCAATGTGAAGCACGACAATCTAATTGAGATTCTATACAAGTAGGCACTATTAAATTCCAAACTTGATGAGACACTCGAAAATGCCAAGAAGGATAGGCATTGAGACAGCAGGCTAACAGCTAATTAGTATATCAATTTAGTAATATTGACATAAATATTCATAATCAATATTTGATGTCAAACTTTGAATTGTTTGGCTCTTTGCAGCTGCCACAATTTAAATTCACGGGTTGCACAATCCACCTGATTCGGCATTGATTTTTGTTTACATTGATTTTTGTTGCAACATGTGACACGCAACCTTGACGCAAGACAGGTGCCTTAGAATACAGATTGCCTACACTAAGAAAAAATTATAAAACCGCAATAAAATTAAAATCGATCCAACATTTTTAATGCTTTTCTTGTTATTCGAAAAATTATTTCCAAATATAAGGAAATATTTTGTTTTAATTAGAAGGTCTTGTCCTAAGTCAACAATCCCCCAAATATGGTATATATTTTTGATATTTCTCAGAAATGTTTACTATTATAAAGAAATGCATTTCTTAAATGAAGAAATTCAAAAAATAGTAATTATCTCTGTCAACTGATATGTAAGAGTTTAGTACATAGATATATTTGTTCTAAAAATACTGGTTTTAAGATGGCCACAACCTTCAATTTTAGAAATATTCTTTCTGAACAATAAGGTTGGGAATCATTGGCAACAAAAGTATTAATCAAATTTCCTAAATTTAGCGCGATTTTGTTTCTGAGTGCATATACATATCATATATAACAAAATGCATAACATATATATAACAAAATTCATGGGCGTAGCCGGGTTTTCGTAAAGGTTGAGAGACCAATTGTAAATTTTCCATACATTTTCGTCTAAATTAAGTTGCATATACTGTAAGAAAATAATTAAAAAGATTCGTACGGTTATTTTTTCCGATTCTTTCGATTTGTTTTCCCGCGATCAACCTTATGTGTCTATATAATGTTGTGATTTCACGGAAAGACTGTCAGGAATGAATTTAAGGTACTCAAAATATATATTTGTATATATTTGTAGTGTGTAAGTTACTAGTAAATACATATGTATATATGCAGTAGATTTCATTGATTTACGTGACAAGAAAATATTAACAGTGTGAATTGTACATGTTTGTACTATAATTATTAATTATTTGTAGGTTTGAAATACGCTATTCAGCTCATAGCAATGGTGAATTGTATAGTGTAACCGAAAAGATAGTTAAATCGAATAAAGAGCTGGCGTTTCACTATTTGAAATAGGACCGAAATAAAAACAAATTTTGTGTTTGCACTTTATTATTGATTGTTTTTTATGACGGCTTCCAGTCGCCGACAAACTCAAATTCAAAGAACAAAAAGAGTCTAAAGAAAACCTTTAAAGAATATCTATACTAGAGACGACAATAAATTTCGTTCATAAGAAATGCTCAGCGGAGTAAATAGTTACGGAGGCTGCATCAGCGGACTGCTCAACGATGAAAATGACGCAAGGCAAACACTATTCTGACATACATACACAAATACATACACACATATATATACTTATATGTAAATAGGTGCAGCCGCGGAAGAAAAAATAGCAACAAAAAACTATCTGGTAAAGAAAGAGGTTACTCTAGATTTTTTGGTACTTCAAAAAATATGAAGTAGGTCACAAAACTAGCACTGTTATTAGAAAAATATAATAATATTTAGAGATGCGTAATTAAATGAAAAAAAACAAATCAGAAAGTAAATATTACTTAATGAAAAAGATTAGATTTTTATATTTTCAAAAAATATTTTGGTAAGAAATGTCGATATTAAAAAAAGCGTTGTAATTTAAATACGTTAAAAGATCTTATAAATATTTCGGATATTTTTTAATTTAAACTTTTTGTATGTAATAAATGATTTTAAAACATATTTAATGTTAAGAGATGTAAATATTGAGTTATATTAAGTAAATATTAAGTTGTTTGGCATATGTTAGCAATAACTGCATTTATAGAAAAATAGAATCCATATCAAAATGCTTGAACACATCGAAGTTTAATTCTTTTATAAGTTGAATTGGGAATTATTTTCTGTATTTAATGATTGCCTTACATCCTCATAAGAGACTTATTCATCAAACAAAAAAAATTAAAGCAAAACTCATATAAATAGGGTAAGGTCATAATTTAAGCTCAGAACTGATAATAGCGCTATTTTTACTTCCCGCACTGTGTGATTAAATAACACAAGCTCGCACTAGTAACAGATCACAGTGTCACAATAGTTTGCATAAACTGAGTTTACGAGCTGCACATGCTGGACCTAAGACCTAAGAACGATATTTCAAAAAGGAAAAAAGGTTTTTGCAGTATGCCGAAAATGAAATACCCTTGCAGATTGGAGCTCAACTCAACTGAGACAGAGTGCCCAGTAACAACCCTCACATTGGCTAGCTATCTTCGATAACTAGGAATACAAAAATTACTCATACAGAACCGTAAAATCAATTAACGATAATCAGAAATAGCGAAACAAACTGAAATTGCGAATGTGACCGAATCGAATTTTTATCACGTTTGAAGTTGAAAATTACAATTTAATAATATATTACAATAATATTGGAGCCACAAAATCGATTAAGTCTGTCTTTTGTTAACAAAAATACAGATCTTCTCTTGATTTAAAAACCATCAATATCATATTAAGGTATTTAAATTGTGACTTTTATTTATATAGATATTAGGGAAATGGACGAAGTTGTCAATAAAATACTTGTGTCCTGTATCTTTCTTATACGAGAGCTAAGTGCTCTATATATTACTATATTCTGCAACTGCACAGTCTTAAAATCGATACAATTATATAAAATTTATATATAATTTTTTTTAAACTGAGGAATCAAGTAATCGAAAATCTTGACATTACAAAAACTGCATAGCACTGAATATAACTAACTAAATATGTGAAGTTTCACTTTTAAAAAATTCCCAAGCCTAATAAGAATATATCAGAAAAATGATGTTTTAAGTTTTAATGCAGAATTAATCATAAAAAATATCACTCTGAATGAATTGAATAAAGATCGGAGCGGTTTGGGAATGGGAATTATTAAGTATTATAAAAAATGCTTAAACCAGATATTTACTCGAAATGTTCCAGAATAAGTTATTTTCAAGCTGAAATGCAGAAATAAATACTTAAAATACACTGTATAACATTGAATATAATATTATTCGAGAAGCAAATCGGATGTGTCTATACTAAATTGAGTATATATATATATATAATAAGTCCTTGTACATATGTCCGAAAATCTAATATGTTAACCTGTTTGAATGATTAACAACCTTCAGGTTTTTGCGGTTTTTGTTTCTAGTGGGTTTCGTTTAGCACAGCTCTATTCCGGTTTTTTGATTTGCGAACTTTTGTTGTTGTTTGTATCACTTTCAGCACAACTGATTAAGAAACCGCACGAACAACTCTGGCCGGTGAGTTCACACTAATTGCGAATTAGTGTTTTTGCTAACAAATTGCCCACAAGTCCCATAAAAAATCTCTGGACTTTGAGCCAGTTGTGCACCTCTAGTTCTATTTCATATATCTACGTGACTAAATATATAATATAAATATATATCTCTATATATATAGAGATAAAGGTGCTCTAGACCTAAGCTTACTTTATTTATTTATTTAACGTCGATCAGTGTCAGTCAGAAAAATACAAAAAGTATAAAATAAATTTTATTAAATTAATAATAAAATTTAATACACAAATTAAAGTTTACAAGAACTCTGCAAAATATTTTAGAATTTGTTGTATGAGATGGGGAAACCCTGAAAACCCCAAATTGACCAAAAAATAAAAAAATGCGTCATGTCATTTAATATATATTTTGAAATATCTGCACGAAAAGTATTAACAGTAATAAACCAGTAGAAGCACTCGCTTCTATTTTTAGGTTTCTTTTTTCACGACAAAGGCTTCGTCTAGATTAGTAAATTTATTAACCGCATGTAGGTTTGTAGTTATGTCTTTAAGTACATACATTGTTTTATGGAACTAAGGAAATGACCAATTCCTAAAACTAATCTCATACATATTTAAATACGAGGAGACCGAAGAAAACCGCTGCTGCTAACTTTATCAGTATATATTAATTTTAAACTACTTAGGAATTTGTTATACTCTCTGAAGTACAACACAAAAAGGCTCTTTATGTGAGGAAGTTTGATCCAAAGTGGAAAAAAATATAAAATTATTTAATAATTCATTAATACACTTAAACAATGCTCTACTTTGAAGGTATACCCTGTATAAGTGTTAATAACCTATTGTCAATATGGCTTTCAGCTGGGGAAATTTGCTGTAAACAGTATATAGAATTGTCACTAAAATTTCCACTTCAGTCCGAATTTCCTCTTTCAACTACCGTATTTGTATTTCTTGCCTCTGTTAAATAGAGAATCAGAGACTGTAAATTTTTACAAATACTTTTATTACATACTTATATATTATTATATTATTGGTTTGGCTGGGTGTTTTTCCTGGGATTTCCCTATCGTTGCAATAAATGTAGGACCACATTTTAATACTCCCAAAATTATTATACTCTTTATATATGAAATTGAATTCGAAACCATAGAGACGAAAATAAAAAATATAAACTATAAATCGTCCTATATTCCGGATTGATTGCTAAAGCAATCGTATCGATTTACACTTTTGGGCAGTCTTGAAATTTAGTTCGAAACCATAGATACGAAAATAAAACTTCACCCACACAGACATCAAATACATTTTTCCAAAACAAAAAGAAAGTTAGTGGTTGTGACAGTTTCCACCAAACTTTCATTCTAGTTTTTGCTAACGTCTCTAAAAAGATGACACCTGTGAAAAATGCAGCTTCAAATCAATACAAATTATTTTACATATTTGCATAACAAATAACAAATAAATATATGTATATGAATTCACACATACATATGTATTTGTATTTAGTCACATTTCACATTAACTGATAAAAATGACAAAGAACCGTCAGCTTGTTTATTTTTTTGTTGTAATCAATAAATTCGCTCACCACTTCTACCCCCACCACCACCCTCCCCAAATTGATATCATTTGGCAAAAAAAAACCTGAAAAAAAACAAGCGACCAAAGTGAACTCTGGAACTTATACAGTTAATGTAGGAAAGTAGTTCATTCATAATATACATATACATACACAGACACAACACACATACATACACATCTTCATGCAAATTGAAGCATTCTTTGTTCTAGCACTCAAGGCTTTAATTAATATACATATACACAATGTATATATGTATATATATGTACTTTTATATATTATTTATATTTTTACTTGACTGTAATTTTTATATAAAATCGAATTATTTTACAAAAATAATCAAACCAAGTTGAGCACTAAACCAAATTAGAGGTAAACACGCGCCAGTTCCACATCTAATGATAAGCGTGCAAATACCTCTTTAAGTTGATTGATTCATGTATGTATATATGTAAGTTCTCATACATATAAGTACACACACACACACTCACATATACATGACCTACGTGGCTTCTGTTTCACACAATTCATTCACACATACATATGTATTTGTATACACATATGCATATGTACAGTGGCGCGACCATCAACTTATGGTAATAACTGTCAGCGCACAACACGCTAGTAAATATAAAAAAAAGTTTGTTATTGTTATTGCATATGCACAAATACATATTTATGCATGCACACATGTAAACACACATACACACAAAGTGTGGCGTGACGTGTTTTATTTTATTACCGTTTTGATTTGCAGGCCGTGAGCAGCTCACACACTTATTCAACTTTTCAACAGCTGATGCGCACACATACACGCTCTGGCACACGCACACACATATGTAAGTTGTATGTGTGTAATTACGTAGTAATTGAAAAGGAGTCGATTCAAGTCGATCTTGGATTTGCTATGTGCGCCTGCGTAAATACAAACAACTCGCCGCGCCCAACTATCGGGGTCTAAGCATAGACACAGACTGCCGCTTGCATTGTCAAGCTAGAGCAGCGACAGCCCCAACGCTAGCTGCGAGCGAGAGAGTGAGAGAAAGAGAGGGAGCGAGCGAGCGAACAGAAAGAGCGAGAAACTCATACTGGCTGTTTGGAGGCTCGGCTCCATAGTAAAATGCCTTGCATGTTAGGCGCTGCAGAAGCAGCTGCTGCCATGGCAGCGAACAACACTGCTGTATGTATGTAAGCAAATATACACTTATGTTCACAAAAATAGTACTTTATTAGCCAAAAACACTTAACAATACAAACAATTAAAAAAAATACTGCATGAGACTATGGTGCAGGTAAAGTGTTAGGGTTGGTATGCCTCACTATGGCTCGAAAATCGATAACATGTTGATATACCTCGAAGCCTTAATCGATAATATACAAGTAGGTCTCGAAGTTGATAATATATAGTAGACCTATAATTATACGTATAAATCGATAAGTCATTTGCACATTTTTACTACTAATCTATCGATTCCTGCCTGCCTGATTTTATCGTCGAGTATTGTGAAAATTGTAACACTTTTTCTGAAGCATATTTATCATATTTTAATATATATTAACAATATTAATATAAATATTTATTATATATAATAACAAACGGAAATTTTAAATATTTAAAGTTCGTAGCTATCAATTTATGGAAAAGGACAAATACTTTATTTTCATTCTTTCAGATCAAAGCTTACAAATTTTAAGTGTTGCCTCTGCCAAGATACTTTCTTCCCTTTTTTCCAGTGTTGCCTCTGCTAATCCAGCACATACTTATGTAAATAGCCTGAGGCAACAAATTCAGATTTCTGGACTGATCGCTGTTAAGTCCACAAAGAGCTTTGAGCTATGTACAGACATATGTACATACAAATCATATGTTTAAGTACCATCTCAAATATGGTTGGAATTCTGTCCAACTGCGATCGTAAAGTAATAAAGCATGCGGAGATAGAGTATAAACAAAGACAAAACACTGGCTTTTGAGCGATGAGTTCTTCCTATTTGTGTCTTTTGTTGTTGTGTAAATGTTTTTACGATTATTGCGATTGTATACGACATGCATATGTATGTGTGTGAGTGTGAAGTTGGTTGTGTGCGCTTCTTGTCAGAAATGCACACACACACTCACATAATACCTATTTACGAGCACATACACAGAAAATGTTCGCTTTTGTCACTTGCTCTGCGATTGTCTTTCCAGTCTGCTGCAAGCACTCGACCAAAGACCATTGAAGCAAGCTCGCGCCTAATAAATGCATTCAAAGTTCCAGTAAAGAGTGGACGTATTTCCAGTATGTCTGAAGAATCAACATCTGGCCGTTCGCACTCCGAGGATCTATCTAGGTAGCTAATCTCACTCACTCGCTCACTGGAAGAGCCACTCAATTTATAGGTCGTTCTTTTGACTCGCTCGCACTCGTACACAGTAACAATTATCGCTTGGAAGAGGTGCTGAAGACTTGTGCGAACATCCAGTCAATGGAATCGCTCACTGTTAACGACTACAATGATGTTTACATCGCTACACCTGCAGAAGAAGGAGAGAAGATGATCTCGTCCAGTACTCGCTACTCCTTCAGCGGATTCATATCGACGCACAGCAGCTGCGGCAGCGACGACCTCTTAACGGACATTGTTCTCGAGGATGACAATCGCATTTCGCTGGCCTATGAAAATCTTTGCACAATTCCACGGCGATTGGCCGACAAATTTGCTGCGCAGACCAAATTCCTCGATCTGAGCTACAATAAATTCCAGAATCTGCAGTTTCTTGCGTTTTTCGAGGAACTCGATACGCTTATTTTGGATCGCAACAGCAATTTGGATGTGAACACTTTTCCTTACCTGGCCAACCTGAAGATTCTCTGGTAAGTCGACCAATTTTAGATATTTGCTATGCATATGGGTAGATAGATTGATCTATATAGATTTAATGTCAGTTATTAGCTGTCGATTCTGTATATGTATATATTATATATATTCATACATAATAGAATTATATAGTTACATATATTTATAGATATATATAGGCTTTAAATCCGTTTCCGCATCTGTTTCGCCAGGATAAACAATTGCGATATCTGCAACATAACCGACTGGATTCATCGCATTGAGCGGCAATGTCCTTCGCTGGAACAGCTCTCCTGCATGGGCAATCCGGGAATTCAGACAGTCTTCAAGGGTCAAGGCAAATCCACATCCGCCTCCTATTTCCGGGAATATATACTCCAGGTGCTACCCAATCTGAAGTTCCTCGACGGGGTGTCGCGCTATGCGTTCAGCAATGGAGACGTCGACAGTCGGACAGTCTCAAAGCCAGTTGCTAATTCCTCATGCACTTCCATGACTGGACAAGGTCCTGAATCAACCAGCACATCCGATCGACAAATTTGTGACAGACCATTGGCATCACCCACGCTCAGTTTCAGGGAGTTCTTTCGACTGAAGCCGTTGAAAAAAGCCCAAAGCAAAGCTGGATGTCATCATGAGAATGGATCCTCTACAAACTAAAAAGAAAACAATTGTATATATCATGTGTGCTGCAGTTCCAGTAAGATTTTGTTCTCTTTGACTGTTATTTTTAGTCTGTCTTTAACACATATATATTTGTATATATATATTTATATATATATATATGACTATCAGCTCTGTTTGCTTGCCGATGACCAATGGGCAATCTGCATCAGAGCACTGCACTTGATTACCCTACCCTACCACCATCCCTACAAACAGCCGTTTATAATCTATTTGTGTTCATATAGTTGCGTGCAAAATAATAACACCACTCCTACATTATTTCTTACGAATGAAACGATTTTCTCAATTACTGATTTTTATAAACGAAAGTACTGTGTATATATATCTTTTTTCATTTCAAAGGAAAAGTGCCAAAAAGTAGCGAAAAAATAATAGCATCACCTGGGCACTTTATAGAAATCGTATATTTATTTATAAATTCAAAGTTTTAAAATCTTAATTTTTCATTAAATTAACTTTTTAATATTAACTTTAATTAAATTAAATAAGTTTAAAACGGTAAATAAAATTGTGTTTATTTTTCTTTCTCATTTTTTTTAAGAGACTTCCACTTCTAAAAACGTATTCACAAGTTATTTAAACTTACAAATTTAAAAACGAAACATTTGAAAACATTTATTGTGAGAGTGGTGCTATTCATATATTCGTCGCTGTATGTGGAGAATGAGAAATGTATTTGTACAAAACAATGCAAATTGAAATAGATTAAAAGTCATCAGCTTTGTGTATAATAATGCATATCATCTTTCTGCTCATTCGACCAACAAACAAATTTATATGCTAATATAAATAGCAAAATAGGTGTGAAGACTATAACTTGAGAATCTTCCAATCAAAAATGATGAAAGTAAGATAATTCGTTAGACTACCAAAATACAAGAATTTCGGTTAAATTAACTAAAAAAGCTGTCTTAATGAAACAAGGCAAAGTTTTCTCCCATCTTCACATTTGCTGTTCTAACCAAATGAATTTGACTGGATTTCCTGCTAACTAATTTCGTTGACTCAAAATTATCAGATTTAGCCAATAACACCATACAATTATGGGTTGCTAATGATGATATCTTAAATAAACCGGTTTCTCATACCTTATAACACTTGTAAAGAAGTTCTGAAATCGTCCAATTGTTATGGCTCTACAATTTTAAATTTTGATTTGATATTAGAGATGTTACACACAAGTCAGTCCTGTAATATTATTTGAAAGCTCAGTTAAGCCTTCATTATAATGAACAATACAAACAAATAAATGAATAAATTAAAGTTTTCTTAATTTTATGTACATATTTCACTGTCCAGCTCAATTTGGAGTAAGAGTCCAAAGTGCTTTTTATTTTGTAAGCCATAGACTTGTGATTTTTATTAAACAACAATGTCGCCATATTTACAAGTAAATATGTTGTGTTTTGGACATATTTAATTTATATTTTGAAAATTCGCAAGTTATCGTCTTCCCACCTAATTTATGGACCAGGTGAGTATGTTTATTTAAACCACATATTAAAGAATCAAAAATTATGACAATGGATAACTAAACTAGAATCGATACTGATCTCATTTTTTAAATTGAACTTTCAACTTGATATTGGGTTGGCATTTTTAATTTGTAGTCTTCGAGAATAATGCAAACTAAAGTTTAATTATTAATGCCTGGGACATAAAATATGTCCATGTGGAATTTCTTCAATTAATTATTATATTATTATGGGCAGGCATTTTCCAATTTTAGTCTCTAAAGTTTATTTACTAATGCTTGCGACATCCGAATACATAAATGTTGACTTATTTCAATTATTTATTAACTGTAGGATGGTTAAGAGTACATTATGGGTAATCATTTTCCAATTTTAGTCTTGCTGAATAATGTTTTGCCAGAATTTGTTTTTTTTTTTTTTATCGAACTGAAGAGTTTGATTCACTCTATTTATTGAAATAATACATAAATATGTATTTTAGATGTATATGATGTTAGTGTTAGGGCATTAAAAAGAATAGTCCAATAGTTGAAGCATGTTTGGAATAGTTTACTACGCTTTGACGGGCATTGCACCAATGATAACCTTATCAACAGCAACAGCCACGGGTCAATTTGACTTGATCTCGAGGCTGCCAAAGGCCGAATCCAAGGATGCGATCCACTTGTCATTGTTTTTAATCGTTGAACGCCTTGCCGTGTGAATCGAAGCCTGCTCCAGTGCCCATTGTGCTAGTTTCTGAGAATCCTTTCGCTTGAAGCTGACCGCTTTACAATTGGCTAAAAAGCTGCAGCACAAAAACAAACCGTAAAGTGCCCGCAAATTGTGCGGATTCAGCTTAATCGCTTGGGAGTAATAAGTGCGAGCTATTTCAATATTCTCAACGCCACCCTGAAAGTAAATTAATTAATTGAAATAGTTGAGAGCTGTCAGAGATCCACTCACCAAAGTGTAACGAATGTCGGCAAGGCGCTGATGGATTAGATGGCTGTGTGGATTGTGGAGCAGGACTTCCTCCATACAGAAGGCAGCCTTGCCGTACTCACCCTCGCTCAAGTACAGGTTGCATAGCTCCTGCCATGCCTCCTGATCCGACATGAATCTGCGAATAGGAATTTTAATGCAATACAACCATAGATAAGTTAAAGTTAAGTCTGCTACTTTTTCAGATAGGCATTGAGCTCCTTGATGGCATCCAGGCGCAGTCCGCGCGCCTTCATTATGGCAATTTTCCTTTTGCGTGGCGCCGCATTTGTCTCGTCCTTCTCGATGATGGCATCCAGTACCTCGTTGGCGGCATCATATTGTTCAAGTGCCTCGAGGCGCATCGCTTTGAACTTCATCACGCGCAGACTGCCGGGAAACTCGGCGCTCAGTTGCTTCGTGCACTTTGTGGCAATGTCGAAGCGAGCGGTGTCCAATGCGGCAACGATGACTTGCTCCAATATTAAATGCCGCTCGTTGCCCGTTTTGTGGACTTTGTCCTCGAGCACCGCCACCCATAACTGAACGACTTCCTCGCTGTGGCGACCACTCTCCTCGCGCCATTTTCTAAACTGCTCGCGCACATCTGCAAATATTACATTTTTTTTTATTAATCTTAATAAGCACACTTCCACTCTAAGCAGCAATTGGGTCACGGATTATTAAATCAATTCAGCGGACAGCTAAAAGCACCTTTGTAGTTTGCTTGCATATTTTAAGTATTTACCTGACCAACTCATTTCTTCGTAGTTTAACGACATTTTAATATAAGGTACTTTAATTTATTAATTGCAAAATTTTATACGGTTCAACAAATATCGATAGAATGCATTAAAATTGTCAAAAAATGATTCTCATATTCATTCCGATATTTCGTTATCGATATCTTTAATCGAAATTTGTTTTTCTCTGTTTCAGTTCCCGGTGGAAAAATTGAGTTTGTATATTGACTACAATTTTTAATTTTGCATCAAGAGTCGGTTCGATGGAATTTTTAAATAAGATGTGATGGGCATTCGATCGATAATTAGCTAAGATTAATTAGACACTTATTTAAGAACTTTCTGTACTAAAATAAATTTTCGCTTTTATACTTTTATGATAACGAATTTATATAATTGGTCTGGCAATGCCCAACTCATTCGTTGGCAGATCGGAAAACGGTCAGACTTTTGTTGTGCGGCCTTTTTAAAAATAAATTTTTTTAATGTATGTATGTACAAAAATAAATATATATAATTAATAAGCACAAAGTGTTTCCTATTGTTCGTTTCACTGGAGCACTGATAACCATTTTCTAGGCGCACATTATTAATGTGTCACCTGTAATAGCGTCAAACCTGTCACAGTTGTAACTGTGAGGTAAAATTCACAATATAGACTATCGCGTATTAGGAGATATGATATATATCTATATCGATATATGCGTATCGATGATGCAATGTGCGCAATGTGTTTTCTCTAGTCAAAACAGTTTACGACGACGGATCCCAACACTACCAAAACTCGACACATTTATAAATTCGTTCAATGTGAAACACAAACTTGCCGCACAATCCAATTTACTTTCTCGAAGGAAAGGATTAACGCTGATATCATTTTGTGGAAATCTTTACGTCATCGACCAAACAATCCCTTCAGTAAAGGTTACGTTCGGAGTTGTCTCGTTCCAAGTCATAAATGGTGTTTTTTGTTGTCCGAGTTTCTCAAAGTTGCGAACTAAAAAAAGTCAGTGGGCGTTAAAAAGCGACGACACAAACTATTTTTAAAACCGAAAGGAGAAATTCTTAAGCACAATGCCTCAACAGCAACAGGAAACACAACAAACATTTTTGGGCTTCGATTTGAGCACACAGAAGGTAAGAAGGCTTATGCACATAATAATATTAGTAATTATAATCATAATTTAAATTTTCTATGTGACCTTGCCGCTGAGACAAGGGTTGCGAAATGTTATTGTGCAAAGTCAAATACCAGCTAAAAGTATAAAATATTCTAATCAGTGAATAATTAACTTGATTGGCATATGTGCATAATACATACATAGGTTTATGTGTTTATGTAGGTATGTCTTTATATGTGTCTAATGAATACTTCCCAGCAGCGAAACTAACCCATTACGAATTTCATTCGTAATCTATACTTTTATGGGCGATGTAACATCGAATTCATAACATAAACGGAATACTTTACGACGCTATATACGCTATATATATATTGACATTGCATTACAAATGTGACGTTCATATTTTATTTATTATATATTCAAAATATAGAAAGTTTACTATGTACACAATTTTCTTTGATATGTGTAACAATTTCATAGCTTTTAGCTATAATATATTATGAAATTTTATTTTGGATCTAATTTAATGTATTTTTTTTTCGACTGACATTAAATAAACAAATAGGAATACCCTGAGGCGGCTCAGTAATTTAAAAAATAGCAAAACTAATAAGAGATCAATACAAGTAATAAATATTTAATAAGACTGTCTTAAATGCTGAAGCTTTCGCGAGATAAGCTTGTGCTTGACTTAAAAGCTCCAGCATTCAACTCTGCATTGGAGCATTATAAGGTAATGCATTACATTGCATCACTAAGCAGACAACATGCATGGGAAATCAGATTTCGCCTACGATTTGTTTGCATACAGAATGCATTCGGTAAAGAAGGGCACTATGCAGATTTAGTGAGATGATAGGTCATTTACTAGTTCGCTGCTGGGTATATTAAACAAACATTAAGGCTAATAATCTAGCACAAAGCAGCCAATTTACATTTTGCATTTTGTCTTGATGAGCCACTTTAAAGTACTTTTAAGCTAAAGCAATAATGATTATTAATTATTCTGAATATTATAATTAATTATAATTATTATTAATTATTTGTATGAATTATTATTACTCATCTCTTGATGAACGCCTTCAAAGTACTTTTAAGCTAAAGCAATTCATATTATTAACTACTGTTAATATTATTATTATTATGAATTATTGATATTTGTTTTATTATTATTAATTTCTGTTATTATAATGCACTTGTGTATTCTTTCAGCTCAAGGCAATTCTTTTGAGCCCCGATCTGAATGTTGTTGCCTCCGCAGAGGTAAAATTCGACAGCGACTTGCCCGAGTTTCGAACAACAGGTGGCGCCAGTGCAGGCCCAAATAAATTCGAGTAAGTCCAATTAGAGCTCTAATTCGAATTTGATATCTAAACCCATTAAATCGACTCAATTCGCCAGGTTCTTTGTGCAGCCAGTGATGTGGGTGAAAGCAATGGATATCGTCTTGGATCGTTTGGTGATGCAGGAAGCAGATCTGAGCACAGTCGCCGCCATCAGCGGCTCTGCCCAACAGCATGGTTCGTTGTACTGGTCAAAGCATGGCATTTCAGCGCTGCATTCCCTCGATCCAGATAAGTTTCTGCATGCGCAAATCGACGATTCGGCGTTTGTGGTCAACCGAACGCCCATTTGGATGGATGCCTCGACTCACAAGCAGTGCTTTGAAATGGAAACGGCCATTGGGGGACAGACCGAAATGGTTCAGATGACGGGCTCCAAGTGCTATGCTCGCTTTACGGGTCCACAAATACGCAAAATTTACCAGCAGCGCACACACGCCTACGAAGATGCGCAGCGTATCTCGTTGGTCAGCAGTTTTCTGGCCTCGCTCTTCCTTGGCGATGTGGCTGCCATTGACTATGCCGATGGCTCTGGCATGAACCTGTTGGACATTCGCAACAAGACGTGGTCAAAAGCCTGCCTCAATGCCTGCGCACCCGATTTGGACGAACGCCTGGGCGCCCCAGTCGATGGTTTCGCTGTGCTGGGCAATGTCTGCGATTACTTTGTGCAACGCTTTTGCTTTCCGCCCACCTGCAAAGTCGTTGCGTGCACCGGCGACAATCCCTCGGCCCTGGCTGGCATGCTGGTAGCCAACAACTGGCTGAGTGTCTCCCTCGGCACGAGTGACACGCTCATGATGAGCCTGGAGGAACCGCCCAAGCTCGAGGAGGGCCATGTGCTCTGTCATCCAACCGAAACTCATAAATACATGGGTCTCTTGTGGTATGCATACAACATTTTAGCATTTTAATTTATTATTTTAACTGCCACCCACCTCCCACAATATCGACCAAGAGGCGCGCCAATAAATGACATAAGCGAAAGTTTTAACAGAACAAAAAGGCGAGGCAGTGCAACTAGGGGATCTAGGTAGCTATCACTGGAGCATAAGATTTGTTTTTGTTTGTATTACAAGTTTTTTTAAGAGACGTAGAAAATTCCCTGTACTCCTAATCGGAACTCGGAAGAATCAATTTCCCCATTTATTAGTTTATTTAAATAGATTACACTAAACATGTCTTTTACGATCCGAAAAGAAGGAAAACTTATTAATAATAGTATTCTACGATAAGAAGGTAAGCTATTGTTAGTAATTTCAGTTAAAACCACGCATGGCAAATAACAGAAATTCTTTTTTCTACTAATAGAGTATTTTATCCTGATGAGCCTTGCAGTTGGGAGACCATATGCGAAAGAGTTGCTTGCCATGCAACAAATAATTATTCAAAAAGCACATTTGACCTTAAAAACTGTCTAAATCAGTTTGTATCGTTTGGCCAGAAAATAAGTTGGTAGGCGCCAGCCAAAGTTTTACATCATTAGCACCCGAGAGTGAGTTATAACAGATGAAGGGTTATTTATGAATAAAGTGAATAAGATGGCGCCAATGCAAACTTAAGCAGACTTTGAGAAAGTGACTCAAAAACAATTAACTCTCTGTGTTCTAAGACTTAAACATTAATGTATTAAATACTTATACTCTCTGGTTTTTATTTAGTTTCAGAAATGGTTCGCTGGTGCGCGAAGCGATCAACAAATTGGAGGCTAACGGCAGCTGGGAGACATTCAATGAGTTGCTCGATTCGACGCCACGTGGCAATTTCGGGAACATGGCTCTGCACTTTAGGGAAATGGAAATTATACCCAAGGCGAAAGGAACGCTTCGCTGGAACAAGGAGATGCAGCCGAGCTCGCCTGATGCTGCCAAGGGTGTACTAAAGTAAGTGCAACGTAAAAAACAAGAGCTGTACACAGATTAAAGAACGCATTTCTTGTGTTTTTTGTCAGGTTTAGCTCACCTCAAATCGAAATACGTGCCTTGATCGAGGGACAAATGCTGCATCATCGTGCCATAGCGGAGGACATGGGCTTCCACTTTGGCAGCGAAACGAAAATACTTGCCACTGGTGGTGCCTCAGTTAACCAATCCATACTGCAAATAATTGCTGATGTCTTCAATGCCCCCGTCTACAAACAGGTAACTAAATTATAGTTAATCCTGATCAATGGATTAGCACCTATCGATTTTATTAGCGTGCTAATCCAGGCCCAGGCAAAGTAGAGTAACCCACTAGGTAGGCAGTAGTAAGCCCCTATAATGATTTCTGCAAGAGCTGTAAGGAACACACGAAGAGATTTGGCACCCTGGGAAACCTCTTTCTAATTGTTATATCTATCTATCTATAATCAAGGTTGGACTCATTTTTAATTCAGTCTGCTTCTAGAGTCAAGGAACTGAGTAGAATACAAATCACAACGGTCTAAATCTGGGCAATGTTTATCGATTATACAGTCGTATCTAACCCCAACTATCCATTTTATTATCCAGCCGGTGGATTCAGTGATGGAACTGTTACAACTTTAAGATTGTTTCTTGATAGCCAAAAAAGGTTTTCATACAACCGTTGATAATATAAAATGTAGGCGACGATGTAACCCTTTTCCTGTCGTTTACTAACTCTTTTGCTCTTTTTCAAACTACAAACTGATTTAGACAAATCTTAATTGTATTAAATACAAATTAATGCTTTTTTTATAGGCGATTGTCTTTTTTGAATAATTATTTTTTGCATGGCAATCCACTTGATCGAATTGATAATTATGTTTTTATTATATATGGACTCTGTCATTGCTACATCAACTCATCATTCACGATTCAATATTTATGTTTATTTGCAGAATGAGAGCGAGGCGGCGCTGCTGGGTGCCGCATATCGAGCTGCCTATGCCTACTATGTCCACGAGAATGGGCAGACGGAATCGGTTAAAAGTTATCGCGACTATATCCTTAGCCAGAAGCCAAACCAACTGAATATTGCCTGTGAGCCGAATAAGGATAGTGAAACAATCTATGCGCCAATGCTGCAACGATACCGGGACATGGCATACGTCCTCGAGAGCCAATAACAATCTCACAAGGAGCACTCTGCGTTCCACAGCTGAGACTTCTTGAACTAGCACCTTGTGACTTTTAGGCAGCACATTCCATACTCTAATTACATAAGACTCAAGTGCAATTAACAAAATTATACTGTGATTAACTAATTTTTTATATATTGATTGCAAAAGCATTCACAAAAAATAAACTTTTACATGTGTAAAACATAGATTTTCGAATGGAGAAGCTGGGTGAGAGTCTACTTCTTGCGACCGCCACGCTCCTTAACTTGTAAGTGCACCGTCGTCCCACTTAGCAGGTTGTAGAAGGCCATCGTGTTATTATCCTTGAAGAACATGCCCTGCAAAAAGACCAACTATTGAAGTACTTTGTTTTTTTTTTTTTAAATTATCGCTGCTTACCTCGTAGAATATTTTCTGTTTGGCCGGCGGCATGCCCGTGTCGTCCTGCAACTTGGCCTTGAGGTTGGCAATGGGATCGGTTAGCGCTAGGGTGACGGCAATCATCTGGCCATTAAGCTTCCACTCTGACTTGTCCGTGCTCGGCACCTGCACCTGTATAGTCACAGGACTCTGAAATGGGTAAAAACAGAGTGAGTTGATTTTCTATGAACATAAGTCAAAAATTAAACTTGTAATTTACCTTGTGATTAGCAATGAACTCCGCCTCGGGGACCAGATTATCCTCGGAACGTATCTTCTTCGTGGGCGGCTCATCCTCTATGGGTATCAATTCCACGGGCGGCGCAGGTGAAATCTGCGGTGGTCCTCCACTGCCAGATTGCATGGCCATATAGCCGCCGGAGCCAGCGCCAAAAGGTGTTGCTAAAAATAAATTGACACAATTTTAATAGGGATTCAAATGCTGATAACGATGCTGAACTCCTACGGATACACCCTAGGGAGGAAATGGCAGACGAATATACATTTGAGCAAAATTTTGTAGTTCATATGAGTAGAAAGAGCGAATGGCCGTCATTAGATGAAGTCATTCAACGAGACCATAAAACATAAAATGGTACACCGATGGATCATCCAACAGGGCACAGGCCTTGGGCGCACATTTCAAGCTGAGCTATGTGAAATATGCAAAATGCATAGACTTTAATTTGAATCGTGACTATCGGAACACGGATAGCAGCAGTAAATGCACTTAGAAGGACGAAGATTGAGTAAGAAATTCTTGATAACACTCGAAACACACAATAGGCTTGCCCTTAGATGGATTCCGGGTCATCGAATAGAAAATGTATCTTAGGCGGCTCTAATCAAAAGGTCAGATGAGGTTGGTTTGATCAGCAGAGAGAAATAATCCTCAAATAATCCTTATATCCTAGGGAAAAATGTTTTAAGCTCGAAAAACATTCCGCAAAAGATTCTGGCATTCGAGCGGGAATTAGGATTGCAGCCAGAAGAGTGTAGGCTCAAAAGAAGGGGGCACAATAGATCTGCATGGGATAATAATTCCCAATAACTTACGCATCATGGGTGGTCTTTGCATCATCATAACGGGATTGGCGGATTGTGGCATGTTGTGTTGCGACTGCTGCTGTTGTTGCTGCTGATGGTGTTGATGGTGCGACGGCGGCTGTTGTTGCTGCTGTTGGTGATGATGATGCTGAGCGTGATGGTGACCGACACCACCACCACCACCCCCACCTTGATGGTGCTGTGCCTGGTTATGCTGGCTATGCTGGTTCTTCGACGAGGATGGCTGCGGCGGCGCTGAGAGCGTCGCTTTGTTGCCCACCGGCTTGGGTCCGATTTTCTCCTTTTCTTCATCGTGGAGCAGACCTTTGACCTTGTGAATCTGGTGTATTTGATCCTCGAGCGTGATATTGGCACGGGCTGCTCGTGTGGCTGCCTCCACACTGGACGTGTGCCCGTCCCAGGTAACGCGATCATCTTTCTTCGTCTCCTCCTCGCCCAGTTTCTTGCCAATGACAGTCTCCTCATCGCCCACGCCAAAGATGTCGGTACGTCGCTCCGCCAGCTGCTTCAGACTGGCCTCAATGGCCGTGCCAGCTGCGAATACATTGTCCTGGTTGATCTTCTCCACTGTATGCTTGTCGCGCTGCTCGACCCAACGTGGATCCAGCAGACCAATGCGCATGTGCTCCGATACCTTGGAGGCTGGGATCTTCTCGCCCGTAATTGGCGAGATAAGATATTCATCTGTTGTGACTGGAGCCGGCTTTGGTTGGGCAGCCTTCGGATCGTATTTCTTAACAACAACCTTGTCGTGTGTGGGCGGCAGCATGGGCGCAACAGCTGGTTGCATTTTCAGCGTTGGCGTATCCTCATCACTGGACGCCTCGTCCATGTCCTGCACCTGCGTGTTGTCGCGCTTAGCATTCGAAGGGGGCTGGCCATAGGCCGTGGCGTTCTTCATTTGAATGCCCACGCGATTCTCCATTTGGGAGAGCTTAACGCCATCGTCAATGTGACTGACGATTTGCACATCATCCTCTTCATCGGACTCGATCTGCATTTCAATGTCGCCCTCCTCCTCCATTAACCGCTCCTCCATCAGCACTCGGGCACCGACTTCATCCGGGTTTGTGGGTGGTGGAAAATTGCCGCTCTCAAATGGCTGATAATCCACAGTTTCCACAACGACAAAATCATGCCAGTCAATTTGCGCATAGGCAACACGTTCACGTTCGATCTTTTCCTCCTCCCGGCGACGCTGAGCCTCCTGGTGTCGTTGCCAATTGGCACGATACTTGACCTGCTCGAGTACTTGAACCATGCTGGCGCGTCCGGGCGCACTTTCCACACGCAACTTGCCCAGCAGATCCTTGGGTGGAATTAGTACTTTAGTGTACTGCTCCAGTAGCTTGGTGAAATACTGAAACAGCGAATGTTGCGGCCGCAGGAAATCAAATTGAAAGTTTCGCTGTTCTCGGCTCATGAGATTGGTCAGGAACTGGCGTCCATTACGGGCGACAAACTGAGCCGTTAGCTTCACAATGTCCCTGAAAAGAAAGAAGAATTAGAAGTATATATATATATAAGGCTGCCCTATTTAACATACAAATCCAGTGCCGAAATCGAAGGTGGGTCGGCAATAAATTCAAACTCCGCTGGCGGCTCCTTCGGGACAAACTGTTGTTCCACAACTTGCTTCAACAGCTCCTGTTGCCGTTGCTGGGCAGCACTCGTCACCGAGAGCTGTTTAATGGCAGTCACTGCGTTATTGCTTGTATCTAGTGTGGTAAATATAATATACTTGTTACAATATACGTATATCAGAGTAGCAAATAAATACTTGCCGTTGCCTTCGCGAAACTCGTTAACCTTGTGCCGGTAATAGGCGTGGTACGGATCACCTCCATTTAAGAAATTAAACTTTGGATTGCCCAGCTCGTTTTGCCGGATGCGTGCCTCAAACTCCGGCCCGTTGCGCGCCACGAAACTGGCTGTCTTGTCAACAATATCTAATTAGTTAAATTGCTTTAATTGAGTGTACAGAAAACCTTTAGATAATAATAAAATAATATATATATGCATAAATGTGTTCGTTTTTTGTTTTGTAAAAGGATGCTTCTGACTTCCGGCGGAGGATAAATGATGCCCACAATGGGCCCGGACATTGGCCTCGATTGCTCATTGCTGAACTGCTCGTTGGAGGCATCCGCTTCGATTAAAGGCATCGTTAAGAATTGCTTCGGGTTAATTGATTTATTTAAACGATTTTAAACGATTTTTATGAAATTCGCCTGTACATCAACAAGAAAAGTCGGCAAAATCTAAAAAGGTGTGACCGTTTCTGAAAAAGTTGAAAACGACAAATACTAACTTTCAAAGCAATATTCCTAAACAAACTTAAAATCTCTATTTTAATAAATACAAATACATCAATACAAGTACAAAAATACTTGAATTCACAGTTTATATAATTCATACTCTGGTGTATATACATTACACAAAACCATTACGAAAGCACATTATTTTAGTAAATGGTCACTCTAATAATAAAACGAATATTTCGGAATTTGGTATTATTTTGACAATTTTTCAGATTATTTTTCGGACCAACTAATTTTATAATAATTTAAGCAAAATGCATTCAAAATAGATCTGTGGAACATCTTTTATTAATTGCATTACAAACATTATGATGAAACACATTTGAATGCTAATTTATTTAAGATTTTGTTATTAAGGATTACAGATATCAGTATTGATCAAATTTTACAGATTTAGATATTTTCGTTTCTCCTTCTCCTTGTATCTCTTTTCCGTTACCTGACTCTCTCCTTATTCTAATCACTCATACATTTTTATCTGATTGGGTTTTCGATGTGTTTTCCCAATCCTTGCAATAAATATGGTCCATTTTACATTTTAATACCCCACACATTTTATTTTAATTGTAATATTTTAATATTTTACATAAGTGCTCCATTTCATTTTAACAACAATTTGTATTATTTATTGAATTTTATTTTTAATATTTTAAAGCTTGTAAATAACATTTAAAACATTTTATATTTCCTACTACTACATTAGTCTACACCAAGTAAATAAACAAAATGATCGTAGCCAGGTAAAAATTAATATAAACTTAAGTTTAAAAATTAAAAAAATTGACAAATTCTTAATGAGCCCCTAGCTGACTACAGAATGGTCTAAAAAAGTTCTCTCGGTCCCAGGAAATCGAAATAGTATCTGAACTCAAAAAAAATTGTAATTCTCTTTTCCCGTGGGTCAAAAATGCATATAAATGATTCTCCTATTTTAAGCGAGTCTAAAACTATACGGACGGAAAAATATCAGGCTGTCAGAAGATTTTTTGCAATTTTTTTAATTGTACAAGCTTTAGACAAGTTAATCATAGAAGCAAATTGAAGCACAAGAGGAGCACCAACACTACTAATGTCAATGATAGATTTTACCAATCTAGGCGAGAATATATTTTTAACCAAAAACATATTTAAAAATTATCTGTAAAATTCACATTTAAAATAATAACGAAGACATGTTAAATTATATGAGATTGCTCAGAATGATGGACTTGTGTAGATGAACTCAGCTGTTAATTCTTAATAACTTATAGTGGGTGTCGGAGAAACAATATGTGGTTAACAGTTATTTCTGTAATTAGTGATAATTTCAGTTTAAATATATGTGTGTATATCATTAAATATTACAACTCATTTGACCTAGGTGTTCCTGTATCGGTTTGTGTATATTTACGAGGGTCGGCTGATAAGTTATCGGTTTTAGCAGGGAATAAAATTCAATTTTTGTTTTTAGTGTAATTATTGAAAGCAACTTTGATAAGTTTGATTTGGACTATTAAGAGGTTTGTATCAAATAGCTCGGCGTAAAGCGACTTCAGTCAAATTATGATGTTAAAATTGATCAAATTGTCTGTTTTGAGGGTCTTCACAATCTTCTTATTTGGAAGGCTAAACAAAAGTTAGACGACCCTTGGATTAATTGAAATGGTCGGAAAGAATATTGAATGGAAATGTAAATTTATTTCCATTCCAAATATAATCATTTTTTGTTTACTTAGGCTGATTATTTATCTACCGATCACCATATGTTATACTTGACACTTATAAACCTGCTTAGCACGCAACGTTGATTTCTTATTTTATTGTGAATACACATAAAGTGCCTTTGCTTAAGCATGAATGTCATATTCATATATCGACTAATTTATTCATATTTTTTACATTTGGGCATAACTACATTTGTATGTGCAAAACTAAGAAAACAAGTTAGAACGCTTCAGTCGAACTCCGAACGACTCCGTAAAACTCTGATGCCACGTAATAATAAATATAACTTTACATTTAAATTTTTATTTATTAAAATAACTTAATAATAATAAAAATAATAATAATATAACAATCTGATGTGGGTAAATATTACCAAAATATTTGTAAGTTGATCGGTATATGTTAAAAAGCTAAAATTATACAAGATTGCGTTGGGATAACCATTTCATTCCTCCCATTTTACAATAGATAAATCAGGCCATCTTCCAATATTCATTAATATAGCTTTAAAAATATAGATACCGACAGACAGACGAATATCATTGTGTCGTCGGATATTGCCTTGAATGCGTTACACAATTCATGACAAAATTATAATACTCTGTGCAATGGTGTAAAGATCGAATAAAATGTACACGAGTAATTGGTAAACAATCAAAATAAAATCAATTTATAAGATCTATTCAGACATCTTAATACATAGATGTATTGTATTCTCAGAAAATGTAGTAATATCACCATATGTTTGGCGAGGGCAGCTCACCACATTAATAAGAAATGAGTTTGCTAAAGACTGGGGTCTTTCTAATCTGAATATGTGTTTTATATGTGTTCACAGATCTTTGATATTAGCTTTTTGTTAATTATATTATTGTTAAATAGTAGATTTTTAAAATTTCACATATAAAATCATCTTAGATATGTTACAAATTCATTTCATTTATTTTTGCAAGTTTTTTTAAAAATGGAAATTTTCATTATTTATTTGATAATTTTAAAAAGATAGGAAGAGCGTTTGTTTATTGAAAAATGTGAGGGTTTTGATATTTAAAATTATTTCTCAAAATAAGATAAATCGTTCTATTTTTCAGAGCGATATCAATTTCAGTGCACAAGCAATAGTGTAGCACTCATTCAAAATGAATTGAAATCGTACATTTTAAGTAAACTTGGATTGACAACCAAATTTGCAATTGAATGAATTGAAAATTAATCTGTCGAAATAAATTACCATATGCATTTTTTTTATTTAAATTATCCCCTCAAGTAAAAGGCAGAGGAGAAAAGGGTATTTAAAGTTATACATTTTTAATGAGAAAGTTTGTAACAATAAATTGAAATATTTAAAATAATAGTAACATAATAGGGTCTTACGGTTATTTTAGTTTAAAAAGTGTTAATATTTCATTTCGTTTTGCGTTATTTTCGATCTTTTTTTTTATATAAAAATAAAAAACATTTTTAAAATAATACAAATAAATGAATGCTCTTATCTATCTATCATTGACAAGCTACACGACAGACGAACATAAACAAGTAACAGTAACTGTAGTCGAGTGAGGTCGACTACGATATACCCTGAACCCTGCTGTTAAACAAATATTCTAGTTCAAGTTGGAAAATTTCCCTCTAAAAAGTTTTGCACCAAAAGGTGAGCGCAGCCGACAAACACGTGAATATTCATACATACATACATATATACGTTGACGCAATCGTAACGGGAAAACGGCATTCTGCACAATACACACAAAAACGTATTGAAGCTCGCTTCGTGCCTTCTCTTTCTAACACATGCGCTCGCATATTGATGCCTACAGAAAATGCTTGCGGCTGCTAATAAAAATGAGACCAATATGATAATATATTATTGATTATAACTTGGGTGTTTCTTAACCGATCTTGATGAAATTTGGGAAATTGATCAATAATATACATATGTATATTCTTTATAAATTAGAAGATTCTGCCTTTAAAGTTGTAGAATTTATTAAAATAAATAAAATTAAGCAAACTTGATCTGCGCCTGGTATACGAGAGTCTATATTCTCTGAGATCTGCGTGTTCATACAGACGGACGGACAGACTGACATCTATATATATATATATCGACTGGGCTGTTGACCCTGATCAAGAATATATATACTTAATGGGGTTGGAGATACTTTTTTCTGCCACAAAACCATTATACCATTTTTACTCATTTTTAATGGGCTCAGGGTATAAAAACACTGTCATTTAAATACTGACTACAATTAAATTGATTATATAGGAAGCGAGCTTCAAGAAATTCAAGCTTAGAAATATGTTTATGATCTATAATAAAATTAAAAAACTTGTAGTGGATACTAAAGTTCGAATATATCAATAAAATACCAGAGAATTTGCTATTATATTATAAGTGGGGATCAGAACTGTACTAATCCAGAATTTCAAACGCGTATAAAACAACTAAATTATATCTTAATTGAGAACGAAATTTTACAAATTTGTTACAGATTTGAATTTGGCGCCCTGGGAACGTAAGTTAATTCTAATTACATTGGCAAACTACGTTAAGTGCACTTGAGCTGCAGACAGCGCTCGTACAGCGCTCCCAGCGGCGAGCTAGGGAATGACTTTTCTTACCGAATGCATTCTGTAGGAATATAATGTAATGCATTAAATTATAATACTCTTGTGTGCAAAGTTGTATGTTTGTCTTCGCCAATGTCTTATTAATCTGTATTAATTATCTTGTAATTACATCGCCACCGCAGCTTTGTTTATTCTAGTTTAAACAGACTCGTAGTTAGACGTATCCTTTTATCGGCTATGCAATTTGTTTAGTGAAAAATAAGATAAATGGTTTTGTTTATTTATCGAATATATAAAGCATATATTAGACACTTTTCCGAATTTCGATTTGTAACACAACTGAATTTTAATTTTTACAGTATTCCGTGTACGATCCCTCGCACAAGGTATGTGAGCTTATTTTCTGCATTACAAAATAGTAATTACTTTAATAATGGAAATGTAATATTGGTTGTATTATGGATTCGAAGATACACCGCCTGCAAAGTATAGATTACGAATCGAATTCGTAATGGGATCTTTTCGCTGTTAAATCTCTTTGTGCCGCTCTCTCTCTCTCTCTCTCTCTCTCTCTCTTACACACTCGCTCTCACTCTCGACAAAAAGCGCTCCCTGATACCCCGGCTGATGCTACTAATTATTCGTTCCGCATTATTCTCGCTTTATTGACCGGTTTCAAGCTTCTATTATTGATAAGAGGCTAAGCGTTGGCTTCCAGTTTCAGTGCATATTATTGGAATATACATTTTAAATAACGCTATCGAACAGTGTAGCTAACAGGGTGTTAAATCAGAGTTTGCTAAACAGAAGCTTTTCGGTACTTTCAATTATGGATGCTTCCTTGACGTTTACTGTGACATGCAAGCAAATTGACTTGAATTTTATTTATTTATTTATATAATGTCAGTTTATATAACTCGGTCGACCATTGACCGATGATCGTTCAGAGCAGCCTCAAAATTCACATGGTGAACATCATAGAAAACTGTCCCCCAATTCGATCATTTAAATTTTCAAAATTCAGATTTTGTTTGCTTACATTTTTCATTGAACTGTGAGTATTTAAAGCTTTTATTTATTTTTTGTTTATTTTATTATATACATTTTCTTACTTTAGCTTTCAAAACAAAGCGATTTTCTTTACTTTAGGTAAGATCTGATGTAAATGATTCACTCGAATAAAGGGTATTTCAAAGCCAATCTCACAACAAACGCTATTTAATTCACTGTTCTCTCTCTGGATAATTCCCAGCTCTACTCTCTGAGTTCAACTGGGCTCAAACAGCTGATAACAACGAGGCGTAGCTCAGCTGATTATTGCGCTGTGATTTGCTCATCGCTCAGTAGTAAACGAATCACGCACGAGTCGAGGCGAGGCGGCTTGAGCAGAGACTGGCTTTGTTGAAGCGCAATTCAATTGTTCTTATCAATATTCCGAAAGGCAAATCAATTTGATGTTCTATGAAATCACATCAGGAAATCGTCAATAATCGAACACAAAGAAATTCGCAATGGAACCAAGTGTTTACCTTTGTCTGTTCGCACTCGTAATCCTAGTGGTCGAACCCAGTCATAGTGCGAATATTCCTGAACTTTCACAACGTAAGCCCAATTTTGTTATTTTTTTACGTGCCGTGAACATTATGAACATTATATATGTGTACGTGTATTATATATGAGTATAAAAATGTAACGTACTTATTTGTTCAACTCTCGTAAATACGTTTTCAAGACAAGAATACTTATATATGTTATTCTTGTTGAGCATTATTGATTTAATTTGTTTGTTGCTTTGTTGTGTTGACAACAATTCTTTAGTGGAATTTTTTTAAATTTATCATTTGCATAGAATCGTTTAAATTATTTAATTACTCTACAAACAGCATAATTTGTATTATTAAACTTTTAAGTTAATAAATTAAATTAAATAATATGTATTTGGCAAACTATTATATATGCATTTTGTTTTTTTATTTAATTTAGTTTTATAGCCGAAATGCTATTAAATTTCATTTAAATAAATTGTATATATGAAAACAGATGTATTCGCAGATTCTCTTTGTAGAAAAGCTGTTACTTTTTAATAGGAAATAAATGTTTAAAAATAAATAAACTTACTTTAGGATACACTCTAATTGCATATTTTAATGTACAGCACGTCCCACAATAAGCAACGATGTCAGGGAATATTTAAACAAAATTACGCCGTCTGAATGGATGGACTTTGTGACCGCAGGGACCGATGCGATCAATCGCCAGAAAAGGTTGTATTTTATTTTCCATTTGAATCATTTATTATTATTTGTATATTTTTTTATGATTATCATATGCCTATATATGCGAATTTCGGCTCAAAGCTGTTTAGAGTTTTAGACCAATTCGCTTTGGGAAACATATTGAAGAGTTTTGATAAATTTTGGATAACATTTTAAAAAGTTATTTTAACAGACACCGTTGGTCTTCAGTTTTGATACGATCTTTGGTATACACACATCGATCTCAGAGAATTCATATAAATATAATATAAATATGTGTATTTCCACAGCTAGAGCCAGCAAAGTTGAAATTTTCGTTTTCGTAAAGCATAAAAAGAACAAGACTCAGTTTTTTTTTTCTTGAAAAACTGATAATTTTAATATTTTTAAAAACATATTTGAATACCATATTTATGCTCTACAAATTGTATGAAATCTGTATAGTAGAAGCTTGCAGACTGTATATAATACAAATAAACCCATTCGCCAGATATCTGTTGATCTGTATACAAGAAATATTCTATCGGTTCATTTTCGAGTAGAGCACTTTTTAATGGTTATATGGAGAGTTGTTGTGGTTGTTTTATTAACTAAATATATTTTTGTTTCCCATGTAGGCTTGAGGAAAATCTAGTAAACGCTCAGATCACAGTCGACAATGGCAGCTTATCGCACACTCAATTGTTGGACACACTGCCAAGTGAGAAGGCCCAGCTTGACAGCTATATTGCAATGAAGATCCTGAAGGCGAGTCTCTTCATGTATAACAGCAAGTGTGTCTCGCAACCGGGAATCAGTGATGATGATTGCCGCACATTCTTAGAAACCAAGCCAATCCCTCAAGGCAGTACTCTGAGGGCTGAGTGCGAAAGGATATTGCATGGTCCACGCAGTGGTCACCATGCCTTCAGGCGACTACTGCCGCCTCACTACAAGAATGGCTTGCACGAGATTTCATTTCAGATGTTTGAAGTGAATAAACAGCCCGCCGCATGGCCAATTAGCATGGCGTTGTATGATCAAGATGACAGTGCAGTGAGGACAAGGACAAGTCAACCAGATGAGAGTGGAAACTTAAATTTAGTTCTCGCTCAGTTTGCACAGTTTGTGGAACATGATCTGAGCAAGACGGTCGCCCAATCAATGAGTATGAGTCGCCAGATTGAACAAAAAATACTCGCATTACTAACCACTTTTTTTGCCAGACAATGGAGCCTCGATTGAGTGCTGCAACAGAGATCAAAATAAGCTTCTGCCTCGCCATCACCATCCGATGTGTGCTCCAATTCTGTCCAAGGGAAGAAACGATTTTCACAACTGCCTCAACTATGTTAGGAGCGCTCTTGCTATTGGCGAGAATTGCAACTTTGGAGCTGCAGAGCAGGTCAGTTTCACACAAGCTACACTTAGAAAAAAAATCGGGTTGAATTTAAGAAATTCCACATTCTTTTGCGCCAAGGGTAACTCACTTTATCGAATTGTATAAATTTTTTTTTAAATTAAAAAACCAGGCTTTATATTTTTTCCATTTTCAGGGTATATTTTCATAATTGTAGAAAAAATCTGTCTACTTTTCAGTGTGTTTTTTAATACTGTGATACCCCAAATGCTCTCACTCACTCGTTTTAAAATGTGTTTCAATACAAGCAAACTCAGACGATATATTTTTTGTTGCTTATATTTTTAATCATTTTATTTAAGTAAATTTCATTACTTGTTTCTGAGTTTTATAAAGTATTTTTTTCTAAATTTGTCGGTTTGCATTTCTTCTTTTTAGAAATGCATTTCTTGATAATAGAAAATAATTTAGAAAAAATGTTTTTTTTATTTAGAAATTATTTCTAATATTTGTATGGAAAGGAAAAGTTTCTAGTTATTAGTGTGATTTTTTTAAAATTCAGGTCAATTTTTGTTGTGCACAGAATCTGTTTTTAGAACTAATCAATATAATTGTTTTGCATTTGCAGCTCAACCAAGCCACAGGCATCTTGGATCTGTCACAGCTATATGGATTTACAGACAGTGTCGAGCGCAAAATGCGTACTCTGAGGAACGGGGCGCTGAAATCCAGCGGGAATGGGAAGTTACTATCTGTGACCTCAGGCGATGAGGGGCACACCTTTTGCGCGTGGGGCAGCGGGGCAAATGGAACCAACTGTTTTGTTGCCGGCGACTCACGTGTCAACAGCAATCCCCTCTCGATTCTGGTGTACACCATCTTCATGCGCAATCATAATCGTATTGCCGCCGAGCTCTTAGCACGCAACAAGGGCTGGAGTGATGAGCAGCTGTTCCAGGCAGCCAAGGTTGTCAATGTCGATATCTATCGGCGACTGATAATGAAAGAGTGGCTGACGCAGGTGTTGGGTGAAGCCAGCGCCGCAAATGTGCTTGCCGCATCACCAGCAACTGATGGCCAACAACTGCCTGAGGTGTCTAATGAGTTCGGTGTGGCTGCCATTCGATTCTATTTCTCCATGCTGCCAAATGTGCTGCACAATCTAGCCCCCGATAACGAAGTTGTTTCCCACACAGCGAGCAAGTAAGCTGATACACAATATCTAAAAATGGGCCCAAAATGTTGCTAATTTTTTGATTATATGACAGTCTGAGGTAGACCCCAAAGAGTATATAGACTCGTGATCAACAGTTAAATTGACCTATACATGTCCGATTTTATATATAACAAAAGTATTACTTACGTTTTTCAACAGAAGATTTTCCATACACTCAAAAGAACTAAATCGACCTGAATTTTAAAAATACTTTTATACGTCCTTTGGCGCCCTTATATATAAAGTAGATTGTGTCGTTGTGTGTTTAGTAAAAGCCAGGGTATTCTTTCCTTAATTCAAGGGTACATTTTTCTAAGGTGTAGAAAAAATATGACAAACTTAAATTGTGTTTTTAAAGGAGAACACATAATTATTTTTATACTCGGATACCGAAAATGAAATGGTCTATTGGTTTTGTGCAATGTCCGTCATGCTGTCCGCCTGTCTGTCCGTCCGTCCGACCATCCGTCCGTCCGTCCATCTGCCAGTCTGTATAAACTTTTTTTGACACCCTTAGAGATAGAGACTTGAAACTTGGAACATAGTTGTTTAAAGTAACATAATTTAATTTGAAAAAACTTTCAATTTTAATGCGATTTGAACTCAGAACTCTGAATGGTTTCCCACTTTTAGAGAGCAAAACTCAAATTTCATTCCGTGTTTCTAAATTTTAGAACGAAGGTCTTCGAAAAATAAATGGTTTCGCAAGTTTCTGCTTTTTATACAATTCTTAGAAATAGAAAAATAGAAAATACATACATTTGGACATTATTTCTAAGAATTATTTCATTATAATTATTTAAAAAAATATTTTAGAAGCATTATCAGGTAAGACCTTTGCTGTGATTTACCTTGAAATGTAATAAAATATAATCAATATAGCGGATTTGAGGGAAGTCGCAGTTTCAAAGCTGATTAAATTGGGAAATTTTGTAAATAAATAATTATCAGTTTTGTTATTTAGGAATGCATTTTATAGAAATTCAGGGAAAATACCATTCGGTCACTCTTGACTTAAATACTATACTATATTATATACTATACTAACCTAACCTACTATACTAACAACTATACTATACAATATTTAGAGCAATTCAGGGAAACTCTTCACCAAAATACTTTTATTTATAGCTTCACATTTTTTTTTCTCATTGCAGCAATATCCTACCACTAACTAAACTATTTGAGCTGAAAAATGAAATATACAAGCCCCGCCTACAGTACACGTCCAAAAAACTGAACGAGATCTTGCAAAGTCTTCTGCATGAACGCGCTATGAAAATGGATTCCAGCTATGTGGACGCAGTAAGTACTTCTATCGGGATATCCGCTGTGGGAATGGCGATGTATTCCACACTTTTCGTTGCAGCTGGTGTGGCATGAACCGACGAAACCGGCGCATGCCGATGTCCTTGCATTTGATATACAGCGAGGACGGGACCATGGCCTACAGCCCTACTACAAATACTTAGAAATCTGTAATAGAAACAAAAAGATTACTAGTTGGAGTGATTTCGAGGATTTTATACCAAAGGAAGTAAGTTATTAAAAATTTTAATTCATTATTGCAGTTTCAATAAATAGTCCTGAAATTGAGAAAATCGCCAGAGAAAGCCGAGAAAGAAAGTTTTTAAAAAATAAAGGAATGCTATGTTTACTATTTTTACCATGTTATAAATGTATTTCTTAGTTATAGAAAATATTTCCGTAAAATAGATAAAGTCTTTCTAGTTTCAATAACTTTAATTAATTCCTAAAATTGTGAATAAGAAAAAGTTTCTGGTTTTAAATGGGATTTGATTTTAGTCCTTAAAATATCTTAGAAACTGGTCTTAAAGCCAAAAGTATAAAGTATCAGAAATCAATGCTCGAGCCATGTCCCAAACAATACCATATAAGAGCTTCCGAGAACAGTTTTTTTTTTAACCATGAGCGAAATACCATTAACAGAAATTTATTCTCTGATACTGCGGGTATCAGCTAAAGTTCATGGATACAAATTTTAAGAAATTTGTTTTATTTCAAACTTTTACGTGCTTTCGTATCTTTAGCTGATTGCAGTTTGTATATAGATATGTTGTATATAATATATATATGATAATGAGTGGATTGCCTGCCTCACTGAGTTTAGCAGAGAATTGCAATATTAAGTTATAATCAAGAAGTTCAAAAGAGGTTCTTGGTCTAACCACTTTGCAGAAACGTCAAAAATATTTATAGCCATATTGGGAAACTGGTATACAGATTTTGATGAATGGAATAACTAAATATTCTACCAATTAATTGTGACGAAGATTATTGATAACGAATATAATTGTTTTTATTGATTGTTCAAGCTCGTGGATAAGCTGAAAACTATTTACAACAGCTGGACACATGTGGACCTTATAGTTGGTGGAATTTCAGAGCACACTTTTAACGGCACTGTCGGGCCCACATTTAGCTGTATATTGGGTGAGATAACTTGCTAGAAAATCGATTCAGCACTCTTTTAACCCACTGACAATTTCTTTCAGCTGAGCAATTCTCAAAAATTCAACAACGTCATAAGCAGCAACAGTCCCCAGAACACACTGCTTTACTGGAGGCTTACAGCTCTGTGAACGGGACACAACTTTTGTGCTTGAACTCCAACTTGATGGCAGTGCCCGAGAATATATTCCGATTGCAATCCGACAGGTACGAGGGAAACTTGGGGAAAAATGCTTATTGCACAATTACAGTAGCAATTCACTGCTCACATGTTGACCAACAATAGTCGTTATCTCTAAGACAGGCGGCACTGATTCATAGTGCAGTATAAAAGTCGAAAAAGTTTTAATGAAACCCAAGAAGCCATGTGATAAGCATATCAACAGTAATTACGTATATATATATATATTCATATAATGATGGATTTGCTACTTTCGTTTGCAGCAATCGCCTGGTCAATTGTAACGATGTGGAATAATTCAGCAAGGCCAGACTGAAGTAGTGGAACAATATAAAAGTCAACTTACATCGAGACGAATTTAAATGATCTTACTAAAAACACAACTACTCAAGCACCTTTGGAACTCCAGTTGAATATTCATTTTTGTTGAACAATAAAAAGCCGTATCTTTTGTTTATAGTGCTTAATTTTGTTGACTTATGATTTTTATTGGAAATTTGAGGAATATTGATCTGTGCAAAAAAACTTAATTTTCACAGAAAATGGAGGTTGAAGTCTGTTGAACATACACTCAGAATTTTAAAAATTCGCCATACTTTTGGAAGTAAATTTGACTTACGTTATTGTTCTGAAACCATATTTTTAAAACCTGCACTTTTTTTCTTCGTTTCAAATTGATTTTGTTTCTAAAAATTTAGAAAAAATATGTTTAATTCTTAGGATGTTTTTTCATATGTGTACAAAAGCACGTTTCTATCTTTTTGATTGCTTATAAAACATTTGTATTTCCTCAATACTTGCATTTTTAGGAAGGATTTTTACAAAAACAAAATATGGATTGAATTTCTGCTTTTTAAAAATGCATTTCATTATAAAGGAAAAAATTTCTAAAAAATATTATAATTCTTAGAAAATTGTTTCTTTACATCTAGAAATAATTTCTGAAAACAAGTAAAACTTCAGGTGTAGGCAAAGTCACCTCCAACTTCCACTTTTGCAATAATAGCATGTGAGAAATTTATGAGTCTTATCGACTTACATTATCAGGTATATTATTTTTGGGACATGGAATTTGGTAATTTGATAACTCGCTTTGACCAAGTCTTAAAATATTAATATTGATAACCTAATATCAGAAGGGACACCAGCAATCTACGCATCAGACTTGGGCACTCTCTCTCTCTCTTTAAAATAGTGGGAGATTTGTGGTTTTATCGACTTACACATTCAAATATATCGATTTTGGCAATGATCGAGGCAGGAGTGGGAGTGGCCATACATTTTTTGTGTCGACACTAGACTCCGTTGCGTTGTTGAGCTAACCTAATTTGTGTCTTCCCTTTAGACCTACTCGTTACTTCCAACTTTCTGTTAATCACTGTACTTTTAATTATTCCTAGCATTCACCTTTTCGGGTACTATACCAATATCATTTCTATCACATGGTGAATTAACTACGTTTAGAATGGGTTTTTATGTGTTTTCCCCAATCCATGATACAATTGTTGGACCATTTTGCATTTAAAAATTAACATTTTTAATTTAAATTTTGAATATTAAATTTAATTTTTACTATTTGTAATTTTTGGTGTCGACTGACTTTAGTTGACATTCAATAAATAAATAAATGACGCACCTTGCACAAAACCCATATGCTCCTATACCTTCCGTATCTGAGTCCAATTACATATTGGATATGAGGTAGTGAGGGACAATAAAAAATAATGATTGATATATAAACTCATGAGTCTGTTTATGTCTATTTATTTGCTTTCTGTTATCATCGGGTTGCTAGCAGGCATCGACCATAGTCAATCAATTTTGTCAATTTAAACAAAAAACCCCAAAACTATTTGTTTTCAAATTGTGTATTTTCACAAAATATTTAAGTTTGGGTTTGGGAATTATCGAAATATTTATTTAACTATTGGCGTTTTTTATTAAAACTTTGTTTCTTCGGGTCTGACAAGTCATGACAACTTAAGCAAAACTGAAAAAAAAGAAACAACACTGCAGATAAATTAAAAACCAAAAACAAAGCACGAGTGTAATAAAATCATTTGTTTTGAAATTGATTATTTTTATAAAATATTCAAATCTGAGATTTGGCATTGCCGAAATTTCAATTTAACTATTCATTCGCTGGCGTTTTTAATTAAAGGTTTTGCCAGTCATGGAAGTGTAAGCAAAACTGAAAAAAGAAACAACTCAGCAAATAAATTAGACAGCAATGCGATTTAACGATCGTGCTTTGTTTTTAGGAAAGCCTTTCATAATAAACAAATTCAGTGAGTAGTACATTGTTCTGCTACCTATATACGTGTGTTAGTTGATAAACCATTTTTTATACATAACAATAAGAGGTACATATACATATATACCTAAGAATTCCCGGCGCTAAAAATATATGTATATGTTTGTATTGTCAGTAAGCACCAGCACAAAAGAAAATAATACTTGCAATGAGAACAAAAACAAACACGTTGATAAAAAGTCTTTTTCATATGGAGCCCCGATAAGATTTACCCTGGAACAATTTCAGCAATCAATTAATAGAGAGCCAACTGATAACGCTCCATTGCTCATTGACATTGGCAGTTAGTTCAAATTGGAATCGCGGCGTGTCGAGAGTGGAAGTTTTTGCTTGAGCAGCAAAGTGTGCTAAATATCGTCTAAGGTAAAGCATTGCTCATCCCGCGTATTTTAAGCTATATGTGATACCTCTGATAGCGCATAAACATGATGTACACACCAAGTAAATCAAGATCCAAAAGATAGTGCCGTGATTCCGTTGAGAATATAATATATGAACGACAAATTATCACACATATGATAGTGCATATGATGTCATGCCATCAATAATTTTGTTATAATACAAAAAAAAAATCAGCTGAACTTTAAACATGGACTAACGATATATAAATATGTTTCGCCGTAGTTAAGAGCTTATGTAACACATACAATTAATAAAGATTGCTTCATTTTTGAAGAATTTTCAAACAAATGGCGATAACTGGAAAACTGTGGCATTTACAGTAAGGTGCAAAAGCAAAAGCAGGCGCTAAAATTCGTTTATCTAATCAGCACAAAAGTAACCACATTCCCAATCTGGCTATTGTACCACACCTGCATACATGCATACATATAATTTGTAAAAATGTATCTCTATCTCTTCTCTATTCGAGCTTTATTTATTCAACTCCATATATATGAATGTGGTTTTGTAAATCGCAATTTAATTCATTTTAAGTTAGGCTGCGCGACATGAGTGAAACGCATTTAGAGCACCAAAGAATACTCATAAGGAATATCTATTATAATGGTTAAACCGAGCAACAGAACCTTGAAATACTTTCGATCCGTTGTGGTGACACAGAGGTGAATACTCACTTAATTTAAAGATAAATCAAATATATTATTGGATTAAAATTCATTTATCGCAATGAATATAGTTCATAAAGTATGAACATGGCTTATAAAATTTTTTAACAATTTTTCCATATTGCTGTAAACAACTTTTCCAACTATTAACTACTATAAATGGATTGAAAGAAAGTGGCAAAGTGAAATTGTTTATAACAGATAAAAAATATATATAATGCGCTTTCTAATTTTTTCTTTATAAATAAATAAATTTTAAAATACGTTTAAACACAAAACAAAATAGAATATATACATTAAAAGAAAATTTTAAATTAAATTGCTCAGAGCTCATTTGAATCCTCCTGAATAGGAAAACAAGAAAATAATCCCATTGGCCAGTTGCAATTTTTCAACTTTAGCGCTTCGGATATGTTTGACTAAAAATACACTCCGCGAAATTCGAATAAAGGCACTCGTGTTTATGGTGCTAAAAACTGTACTAAGCCTCACGGGACTTTGTTTACCCATTTTATAAGGTGCTTCTTCTTCTTTTACTGTCATGATGTGTTCGAATGAAATTTCCGTTAGGTTTTTCCAAGATTTTTGCATATTTATGTTTTTTGAGCTACTTTGGGTGCGAAATCGATTAAAGGCAGTCATTTTTTAACCTTCGGAAAAGGAAATAGGGCGTTACATGGAATATGGGATAATAAATAAATATATAAAATAATTTAATATTTTAGAGGTAAAAATATATGAATATGGGATAATAAATATATATATTTATATATATATATGTCGTTACAAATATCGAATCATCGCGTTCACCAAATTTAGAGGTAAAAAAGTATGAGGTGATACGAAAATTTGGTTTGCGAAGAAACATTGAGGTAGCTAAAGCCAGTATTAACGAAGGCTACTGGAATGAACATAGGCCGAGTTAAATTAAAGTTGGAACAGCATCAGCATTTCCTGAACCCAGGAGTGGCAAAAAAAATGGTATTCTTCTGACACGAATTAAAGAAGTCTGAGAGATTATTCCCTACTGGAAGCTGTGGTTTTGCTTCACTGATGATCTTGACAACAGGACCAGGGGATATATAAACCTAATGGACGAAGTTTTGGTGAACTTTATGGAGCATCAACCAGACCCAATTGCCTTATCCCAGCAGGATAATGCTCCAATACATGTGCCGCGCGCCTGTTGGTGGGTGGTTTCGGGATAACAATTATAAGTTTTTAAGGTGGACACGAAGATCAACCGACCTGAATCCCACAGAGATCAATCTGTTCCGTCGAGTTGAAGTTGAATGGTCCAAGATCTCACTATCTGAGTTCTAAATAGTTGTTGAATCGATGTCAAGTTGAATTTTTTGGTTATAAACAAATCTGGAGGCTAAACATTACTAATTTGTTATTTTCTACAGCTTGTATTTATTTTATTAGAATTGCCTTTAATCGAATTTCGCACCTTAACCTCAATTTAAACAACAAACAAATAATAAAGAAAATGCTATGTTAATGTTACAAATTTAATTCCTTTTTAATATGACGTATATTTAAAACAGCAAACTTATTGTGAAACAAAAACAAATTTTTAATTTTTTTTTTTAATTTTATAAAGGAGAAAATCAATTGGGTTTAATCGAGTTTCACGGAGTGTATATTCTTTTGCTATCATCTCCAATGGTGCATTTAAAAATGGTATGAGACCTTCAAAATTTTACTTGAATTTATATGGATATCTCAAAATTAAGTTAAAAGCAAGTAGATTATGAGTTTGATTACGAATGCTGTCCAAATTATGTGAATATAAACAAACTTGAATTCGAATAAATGCGAATGTGACCATGATATCTGCGTAGTTCTGAATTTGTGTGTGATAATTGTGAATCGTATATAAATTAAATGGTTCAAAAAACACACAGTTGTGATCAAAGTGATGTTAGTGCTACTAATTTGTGAACTTTTGATCTTCAAATATATTTGTTAAGTAACTTGAAATCTCAATTATTTGTTGCTAGCATATAGCCAGCCCTGGAGGAACCTTCTATTCACAGGTTTCTATGCTTTTGCATGATCAAGATAAAAGTATAGTTTTGTATTTCTGATAATTTTGATAGCCAAAGAGGAAAACACTGGTATTATTCTATGGACCATTTGTTGTTGTATCTCATGTAAAAAAAAAAACATTTTAAGCGTTCGAATTCATAAATGTTTTTGAATATTTTCCAACAAGACTACTAATAATTTGAGCGTAGCTCGAATTATCCCTATCAAAACATTATCGGAACAATTTTTTTATTTAGCTTGATATCCGAACCAATATGGTTATTGAGAAGTGTTTTTATGCTATTTACATTTTAGAAAAAATGGTCAGTATAGGATTAATATATAATACAGCTGCCATAGAAACAGTTGGTTAGTTTTTGTAGCCTAAACCCATTGAGAATGGATAAAAGGGTGCAATGAAGCTGTATAAAAACATATAACGTGCAGAAGAAAGACATCACCGACCCCATAGAGTATATATTTCCTTGATCTGCATCAACATCCAAGTCGATAAAATCGCTGTTCCCAATAAGAGCTAGAGACTTCAAATTCGGAATATAAGTTCTCGCAATTTATTTTATGATAGGTTCTAGGAATTTTGTAGCATTCCAACTTGATTCAATAAAAATGTATTTTTGTCTGGTATGCTAGAAGTTGTAATCTTTGTCGTGCCCAATATATTTAATCCTTATCGTTTGTTACAGTAGTATGCTCCGAAACGGCTATGAAAATGGGCCTCGTTCCAGCGATAAGTTCAATGGAGGCGTCGAGGCCGATAGTCATAAGCCGACATATGCATTGGATCATTTGGCCACCTTTAAATTAAAAACTGAGGCTGAAACAAAACAGCCGAAAGACAAAATGAAACTGTTGATTGAATTGGATAAGACAGGTGGCATATGGCCGCACAAGATGTACATGTCCTTCAATGGACAATGGCTTGTCATGCTTGATCAGGATATGAAAGAAATCGAAAACTTTCCGGGCAGTCTGATAACGGAGCCAACAGCCTTTATCAGTGATGATCCCCTGGAAACTTACAATAATGTTTTAGTTTTCTCCGTGCCGGGAATTTCCTTGGGCAATACTGAAATGCATATTTTCCAAGTGAGTGCAACCTGCCTTCCTGAATGAATTCAACTCTCTAAACCCCATTTTGCTACAGGTCACGGATGTGAACTCGGTTCATTTGGTGGAGGATCTGCGCCTGCTAAGCAGCGGTTCACAAGTCACCATGGACCGGAACAAGACACCCATACACTTGCCAAAGCCCGAGCGTCCTGGCAATCATCAGGCTAAGGATCAATACGGTATCGCAGCGGCTGCGGCCGGAATTGCCGCCGAGAAGAACGCACAGGATCGCGATCAGACGGAACGTGATGTTCAGGTGCTCAACCACTGCTTGTAAGTTGGATTTTGTTCACTTATTTAAAAAAATTTACATTTATTACCTAATTGTAAGTAAATAACATTGAGATCTTAAGATAATCAAGCAGTTTAGCAATTACACTCGGGAAAAAAAAATATATATATATATATCCCTGAATTTTCGAAACACGCCATACCTCTGGCCCCAAGGTAACTCACCGATTTTTTTCTTAATTTCAGGGCATATATTTTAGTGATATTTAGAAAAAATATATCTAATATTCAGGGTGTTTTTTATACCCTAAGTCTTTTCAAAATGGGTAAAAAGGATATAATATTTTTATGCAAATGTATGTAACAAATATATCCACAGTCGAGGCGATATAGCCATGTCCGCCTGCCCGTCCGTCCGTCCGTCTATATGAACATGCGGATCTCAGCCTTCAAATTGGGAATATCAGTTCGTATACCCTGTGCAGACAAAGTTTGTTAAGTTGTATCCAAAACTGCCTTCGTTTCGCGGATATCGATACACTTCGATTTCCGATTGCAATAACAGTCGTAATTTTTAATTGAAATATAACATACATATGCATGTTATAGATCAACTACCCAAATTTCATTAAAATCCGATAAGAAACACCCAAGTAATAGTCAAAAATGTATTCCCATATTGATCGCATCCTCATCAGTAGCCGCAAGCATTTTCTGCATGCTAGCGCATGTGCGAGAAAGGGATGGCATGATAATCGACGCTAGCGTAAATATGTTTGTATGTATTCTGCCGAGCCCCGTTATTTACGACTTTGTGTACGTATGTAGGTATGTAAGTATGTATGTACATATATGCCAGCCAGTTAGGATCAGTTCATGCTTCTGAATAAAAACATGCGCTGCACTCTTTAGTAACTATATCCGTCTTAAGATATGATAGAAAAAAATATAAATAAAAATAAAAATATATATTTACATAAATATATATTTAACAGCTGAGTGGAAAGGATATTGTAGTCGAGCTCACTCGACTTGTTTACTCTAAGGCTTTACCTAACACTTAATTACATTTTATGTAATTCGCATATTTTTGATTGCTGACTTTCTATATTGCAGCGAGGATGTGGAACGATTCATTGCAAGATTGCACTATGCGGCTGAAGCGTTGCATGAGCTGGAGTCCCGGAAGAACCAACACAATCCCCACGGAGAGGGTTTGCTGGTGTTGCGATCACGTCCGCCAATCGAGAGCGAATTCTATGACATTCTGGCTAAAATAAAGCTGGCGCTCAATTATGCTGTTAAGTTGCAGAACCATTTTACCAAAGGTGCTGAGCCTGTGCACAATGTCTTCACGTCCCTGCAATCGATTGTGAATGTGTGCAGCGATGTTTATGTCGGTGCTCATTTACCTGAGAGCGTTGTTAATCCTCTGCTGCGCCGAGAAACAATTGCTTTTCTCAATGGCAGCCTTGACTCTAATGAGAAAGAGCTGTGGCTCAGTCTCGGCCCTAATTGGACCGTGCCAAAGGATCAATTCAAGGATCACAAGGGTTCATACCATCCCATTTTCTATGACGATTGGTCGCCAGACTGGGTTGTCGATGAGGAGGTTGCCTACTTGGCACCTGTATTGAAACAATCCCAATCTTACACGCCAATGCCGGCCAGTCCGGGAAGCAGTCGCACCTGGCTGAGTCGCTTACAGAGCCGCAATGTTAAAATCGCTGAGGTTGCGTACAATAAATCGGCCACCAACGATAAGGAACTGAATGTTACAAAGGGCGAATATTTAGAGGTACATTTTTATTTCAATTTTCATTTTGCCAAGCTATAAAATTGTACTGAAAACATGTTGTAATTAATACAGGTTATTGACGACTCCAAGAACTGGTGGAAGGCTCGAAATTCATTCGGTAACATTGGCTACGTCCCGCACACAGTGCTAGTTCCCTACAACTTTGAGGCTGGCATGAACCGGAATGGACGCGATAACGAGTCATTGGGATCGGCATCTTTTGACAATGGTGAAGGTGAGGCGAACAATCCGCTTTATCGCAACACGATGGCATTGTATGTGCCGCCAACGGATCGTGAGTCTCAGCAACCAGTTGGTAGCTCAAAGAATATGCCTCGATCCTATTCAATGCCAAATGTGCCCGTCCCACCGCCAATGCCACCGGCTAGTGAGAGCCAACCATCCACTCCGAGTGACACCTTAAAGCGAAATATGGCAGCCGCTGGAACACTTGCAGGTGAGTGCTTCATTTGCATTCCTCTACACTTTACACTCTGAAAAAAAGTCGACCTGAATTTTAGAAAGTCGCCCCAAAAATTAGAAAGTTTTTCTTTCTTCTTCTTAAATATCAGAAAAAAATTTTCTTAAAATTAGAAATGCTTGCCCTAAATCGATAATCTCAAAGAGATGATGTTTTTTTTTATAAAATACATTATTTTATTATATTATTAGGAAATGCATTTCTAAAAAGTATAAACGCAATCCTTCATATTTAGAAAACAATTTATAAACTATCTAAAATGTTTGTAAATGTGATACTTTAAAATACTAATGTTAATTAATAATAAAATAATTAACAAAAGAGCTAGAAATAGTTGATTGTTTGTATGAAAAAGCATTGAAAGCCCTGAAAACTTAACATATATTTCCTAGATTTTAGAAAATGTACCCTAAAATTAAGAATAGGAAAAAACTCTGGTTTTTATAAACTTACGTATGGCAAATTCCAAAATTGAAGGTCGATTTTTTTTCTGAGTGTACATTTTCAATAACTTCCGGCTTTTCTTTTGATAGCTATGCGGGCCCGCAACGACTGCGAAGCGGATGACGATGCCTATCTGATGCAGGAGAATGTCAACGGGGAGCTACGCGTCCTGCTCCAGCAGAGACAGCAGCGTAGGGACCTCGAAATACTGAAGACGCCCGAGATATACATTAACCAGAACTCCAAGCCCAGGGAGGTGGAGGAATGGCTGCGCGGCAAGGGCTTCTCGGACAACATTATCAAGCGCCTGCACATGCTCAGCGGCGAGGAGATATTTGCGCTTTCGCCACACACCATCGAGAGCTATTTTGGGCAGCGGGAGAGCCGTCGACTCATTTCACAAATTGTGCTACAGAAGAACTTCTGTGAGGTAGATAGATAGACTGTCTTTTTTGGCCATCTGAAATCCTCAACAATTTCTATATTTGCAGTACAAAACAATTCGGTCTTCTGAGCTGTCTGCTAAAACTAGCTCGCGCCAGACAAAAGGCAGATCAATCAAATGGAGATGAGGTCTTCTAGGCCTGCCTGCCTGCCTGCCTGCCTGTATTTACTTAATGTATACTTTGAGGACAGCTTATTCGAGCCCGTTTCCCTTGGAGATTGATTGAAACTGCATACACTTTACTTTTGGCTGAATACTTTTGTGGAATGGAACCCTCTTGGTTTGTCTATTATTTATTTGTAATGTTTCGTTCATTTATTGTAAAATATGCCTGTAAATGCATATGCAATATGAAAATAAAAATCAAAAACAGCATTTTATTGTTGCTTTGTATTTGTTGAAGCTCTGAATTGACACTACACAAATCATAGTCACAACAATCAAGAATATTCTTACTGAGAATTTCCCGACTTACTGACAAGTCGCATATTTAAAGAGACAATAAAAATGTAAGTGGTTAAAGTTGTGGGAATATAGCCAATCACAAGGCCATTGTTCTAAAGATATATGTATGTGTGTTTGCACCCAAAAAAATATAAGATTATCTGCGCGCGCATGCCCAAGGAGACCACAAATATCAAATCCGGTGCCTTCAGTGTAAAAATAAACTTTTGCTAAATTTGAAAAGTTCAAGGAGAGAACAAGAAAACTTATATTTCTGCCCGAGCAGCATTAGACAGCATTTTGAAAGCTATACGCAAGGAAAATAATCAATATTTAATTCGTATTGACTTATTTATTCGTAATATGTATGAACAAAATCAAGGACACAACACTTGCAACGGCATTGCTTTTCATCTCGCCAAGTGAGGAAGATTATCTGAATATTTCTGTGACTGTTGATGGTCCTGCCATAATGGTTGTGGTAATAAAATTTGTTCATTTTTGAAAAAAAATGTTAGTAATAAATTGAAGTGTTTCTTGTTATTATAAACAGAGAGCAAAAAACCTTAAAAAAAAGCACGTAAAAAAAAAATGTATTGAAAATTTCATAATTATAACGACAATAATAATTCTAATAAAATTAGTGGTAATGACAATATTAATAATAATAATAATAATAATAATAATAATAATAATAATAATAATAATAATAATAATAATAATAATAATAATAATAATAATAATAATAATAATAATAATAATAATAATAATAATAATAATAATAATAATTGAGATGCATTTGCCGATAGACATTTGATTTTTATTAAAAAGAAGTTAAAAATATAATTTCAACTTTTAAGCGATTTTCGTTTCTCTGCTAATGTGATTGAATATGCAAAAGTATTCAAGAAAAACAAGAGATAGTAGCTTGATAACTTTAAATGAATATTTACTTTGCAAATATCTTTGACAATAAGTTATCTCTCGAGTCCAACATGTGTTAATTAAGAATCGATCTACATTTACCAATTTGCTTGAATTTACCTCTGTAGTAAGTGATGCATTCCTTTTGAAAATTTTAAATTGGTCTCATTTACACTGACTATGGAAAAACATTCGATTCTGTTAACCATGTTAAACTTCTGCCTTGCAAGCTTGATTGCTTCCGCTTCCCCCGCCTCTGATCTACCTCAAGGTACTCACCTTGGACCCTTATTTTTTACCCTTTATATTAAAAACTTGCTGTCAATCCTTTCACATTCACGTATCCTGATGATGTGAATCAAGTATTCTGTCGTACACCGATCCTCCTCCTCAGACTCGTTTTCAAGATGATTTGAACACAATGCAAATCTGGAGCTGAATAAACCAGTTGCTTTCCAAATGATCAAATTGTATGTTTCGGACTTTTAGTCGTTTTACGTCATAATTGGCCACTTATATTCCACTGTAATTAAGGATTCAGGGGTTCTTTTTGATACCAAACTGATCCTTAAGGTTTTTAAGTGAGATCTCAATCTTCGTTTGCCATCGTCTTCAGCAGGCTTCTTCTTATTAATCTTCCATCATTAGTTAACCGTAGAGCAAAAGTTTGTCTAGTTTTGCTACATACATAGGTTAATTACTTCTTACTATTACTTTTTACTACAAATGTTCAAAATTTTATAGTTGGATTGGTTTTCTTCGATATTTCACCAATCCTTGTAATAAATGTAAGCCCATTTTACAGTTTAATAGCCACAATTTTGTAACATAATTTATTTTTTATTCACTTTGATTCTTTTAATTTTAAATTTCGGAACATTAGGTTTACTTTATTTATTTTTTAAAACCTTTAATTTTGACTTTTTCCACATTAAATAAATAAATACAAATTAAAATTATTCGTCGTTTTATTTTTGAGCAAAATGGTGAAATATGCATCAATATGCAAAATGAATAGAGATATGCTTTTAAGTATATAATATGAAAAATGCGTCAGGGATATGCAAATTTTACGCTCTGCTTATAACCCCACCGATATCTACGTGATTTAAGCATGGAGCTTAGTCGTTTTGATTGCGTAGCTTACAACGTATGGAGTAAATATTAGAAATATGTATTACACTCAGGAAAAAATCGGCCTGAAATAATCACCTTGATAACCTTATAAGAAAGTTTTACTTGTTTTTAGAAATAATTTCTAAGTAGAACAAAAGCAAATGTAAAATTATAAATGCTTGCCATATTTATTAGATATATTATATATTAATAAGAAAAGTATTCCTAAAAGTATAACTTCATAGAAATTATTTTAAAAACTTATTTCTATAATGCAGAAAATAATGATTAAATTTGTTCACACCACTGATATCTTAGCGATAAGGTGATATCTTTTTCAGAGTCAGCGTAGCTCAGTGCACTAAGCAGACAATACAAGAGGCGTTTCCTATGATCCCTCGGGTCGTAAGAGCGAAGACAGGCATAGCGTGTCGGTGCTAATCTTAAAGGGGGAATCATTGTCTCCAAGATTGTTTTGTTCGAAAAGTCAATCTTTGTACGTATGCGCGTGTGCGTGCCCGTGAAGTTACAATGAATTTGGCATGTCGAGTTAATTTTACACCCTTTGTGCCGTCGCTGGTCGCAAAATTTGTCACAAAAAAGTTATATCTCAGGCCGAAGAAATTGAAATTGAAATCTTACACACGAAAAACAATGAAGGCAAATAATGACCTGCGTTAGCTGCTAGCCATACTACACCTAAACAATTTCAGCGAGGTTTCTCATGCATGTTTCATCTATGTATTGTCGGCTTAGTGCTCAGTGGCACGTCACTTAACAAATTTAATTATATAACAATTTATAAGCTATAAAAAATGATTGCATATGTAAGATCTTAAAATACTTATCTTATACTAATCTTACAAAATATAATTAACAAGAGTTGTTTGAGTTGATTTTTTTACAAAAATTTACCCCGAAGTTAAGAAAAGAAAAACTGTTTATTTTTTACAAATATACTTTCTGAATAAAAGGTTAATTGGCGCTAAAAGTATATCAAGCTTATAAAATGCTGGGAGATATTTTCCTGAGAGTATAAGTCGCTCCCGAACCGGCTGGACAACACGCGAGTCGCAATACATTTTTGATTTCAGGGAGTAGCTGAAGGCAACTGCAGTCGTGGATTATTGGATCATTGCCATAGCAGATAAATGAAACATCCTATAAGCCAGTAACTTATTTGTCTTAGATCGAGGTCTTAGTTGTCCTAGTAGCTAGACCAACTGCACTTCTTTCTCTTTGCCGCATAACGACAAATGACAGACGCCAATTTTAAAAGAACATATAAACGTGAAAATTCAAACTAAGGATTAAAGCACATTATATGTGGAGCAAACGATTAAAAATGTGAAAGGGGTAAGTAATTTCTTTTACTCCTAATCGGAGCTGCACAACTAACTTGCCTGCTTAATTCGGAACAATTATCGTGGTTCAAAGTTCTGAAAGTGAAGGATTTGTTATTAATTAAAGTCTACAACGGTAAGTAGATAAGCGATTATTAGTATTCCAATCAACATACAGATTCTATTTTATCCTGACGAATATAATTTGAATTTACCTCAATTAATATTAAACAAATCAAACAACAAATTTTAAATCTACCTTAAGGGAGATTAAATATAAAATAAAAGCACGAAAAAAATTGCTAAAAGCCAAAAAATACTATACAATTCGGCTGAACGAATTAGGACTCAATTCCCGATAACTTCCTTTAGTGCATAAAATTATGAACATTTTTTTAAATTTCCAAAAAGCCCAAAAAACTGTTATTTTTCGAAGACATACTGTTGATTATTTTAAAATAATGTACTCAATAACGAAATATTGAATTATTTTATTTTAATTGCTTATTGTTTGGTTGATACTATACTGGCTCCAGGACATTTTATTTTATTGTAATTATTATATCATTTTACCTGTGTCGCTTCAATCAGATGTGTGTCACATGCATTGTCGTAAGGAGAATATACAACACAAATGTCCAAATACGTAATTAATCAAGACACTTACGCATAACAGCGTCACGCAGACGCAATAACAATACAGCCCAAACATTCGTAACATTTTCGAAAGAAAAGCTTTCTAGGTCACACATGTCGATTTCCATGCCAAAGTTTTGACACATTACGAAGGCAGCTCTCCGTAAAGGTCGACGGGGTTAAAAATGTGTGCTGTTTGTTTGCTGTCCATGTGTATTGTTGGTCCGCGCTAGCATTAATGTCAAACAAATAGTATTTGGCACAGTGTGTCATTGCATGTGTGTGTGTGTTTGTGTGTATTGCTCTGCGGGTTCTGGCCAAAAAAATGACAGACCAATCGACAGGTGTACGTACACATTGTAAGCGAAACACATAAAAGTTAAAAAAAAAAAATCAAATAAAACCGATCATATTCAGTATCAACAACAAAATCCCCCCAATCCCTTCCCAAACAACCGTCGCGTTGCTTTCGGCATAAATTAGAGCAGAGCGAAAAAATAAGCAAGCTTCTTTGATTTACACGCCGTTGCCATCGACGTCGACGTCGGCGTCAGCGTCAGCGTCCGCGTCTGTTGTGCCTGTTGCGCTGGCCTGCAGCGCAGCCGGCATTAAACTGGCTTTATGCTGACTCTAGCGCCGAGCAGGCTCGTTAGCTTTGAAGCCGGCGCTGGCGCTGACGTTGTGCAGTCGCCGTCGAGTTGCGATCTCGATTCGTTATAAAAGCACCAAATTCAACGGCTGCCCAGTTAGTTCAACGCCGACAGTATCTTGGGGCCTTGCCTCGATTGAGATTTACCCACAGAGTCGCCACAGATCCCCAGCAGTGCATCAAAACGCGACCGCCTATGGGCAGGTGTTGATTTGTGAATGAGTAGCTAATTAAGCTGCAATTTAGTTTGCCAGCAAATGAATATTACTCAGTCAGTAATAGTAATATTGTTTGCTCAACCTAGCGCGGAATTCGCGATTTCGATTTTGTAATTGTTGGATTGTGTATTGTAAATATTGTGATTGCTGATTGTTGATTGTTGATTGCTGCTGATTGTCGCGTGCAAATAAAATTGAAAGACTTGCCTAAGTTTGCGCCTACTTAATCACTCCCTCGTCAAGAAAGTAAGACACTTGAGCATGGTAAGTACCAAAGATTTAGTATAATCATGCTAACACAATTCCATTTTAACGGACCAAGTTTCAAAAAGTAAATGTATTTTTTATAATGTCCATTAGCTATATTTATTAAGGTATTCCTTTATTTGTTATTAGCATACTATTTGTATTACATACAATAATTATTTTCTTTACATAAATTATATTTGCATTTTAGTCGATAGGTTAAGGATAAGCGATGGGATAGGGATCGCTATAATCAGGCAGCCATAAAAACTTACAATATTCAATTTTATTTTCAATTTAATTTATTTATTTTATAATTAATTAATTATATATGATGTCAGATTAGCATAAGTGTGTAGATATATGGCTTTAATTGATTTAAGCCAATTCGTGTGCACTTTATTGCACATTCGTGAGAAAAAACGAATACTCTCTGTTGGCCCATAAAAAGCATTTAATTTAGGGCATTCGTATGTCTTTTTGTTTCGACAAATACCAGTTTTGGCTGACGACGTCTAATGGCATATTTAAAAAGCCATTACGGGCCATTGTTTATATATAACTGACTTCACTTACAGCTCTATACAAAAGTACACACGATTGTGAGCGGCATAATAATTGTGTTGCAAATTGCATTTGTTTTTATTAAAAGTAAGGTAATTAATTTAAGACACAAAACGAACGACCTTCATACTTGAATTAGTTTTAATTTTGGTGGTGCTTTTGTTGTCTGTAGACCCAGAGAGGCAAAGGGCTATTGTACTCGACTTTGAATCGAATACCCTGTACAAAGTACAACTCCTTCCATTTCTTTTTCTGCCCCGGGGGCATATTTGAAAAATGACTGCCTTTTTAGTCGCGCATGATCAGCAATTTACGCCATCTAATTGGATACGCCCCCCTTTATTTGTTAGCTCTGATAGTAATCAGTGCAGACATGCCACAAGCCGCGTTGCAACCATTCAGTTTACATATCACATTATACTCGGTCCAAGACCATATTCACATTTTTCAAGTGGGTTCAATTCGATTCGTTTAAATTCGAGCGTTGTTAATTACAAGCGCCTTTAATACACAATAGAACCTCGATCACTTAAGCTTTCTGTTTAATGAACAGTCTAAATGGTAAACCAGCTTGAGGGCTCGACTCAGCTGCTTGTGGCCACTTTCTCTATCTCTCTCTCTTTTTGAATCTTAGGCCAGTTGCGTAATGTACTTAATTATGACGTATTTATGTACCAAGTCCACTATGCCTGAGTGATTGTAGGTAGACAAGTAAAAATGCTACGAGTATACGAGTATAACCACAATTTGACGACTTGCTGCCATTCACTTGACGATGTTTACTAATTTCAGGAACGACATAAACCCAGAAGTAAAATATGCAAATGCTGATGGCTACATATAACACACATATGATCTATATATAGGGGTGCACATGTTGCTAAGTTTGATTCACATATACATATATATAATATATATAAATATATATATATATATGACAGAAATTTGCATGCCTTATTTGTATGTGTGTGTGTGTGTGTAATACATCTGAAAAATTAATAAGAAACATAAATTTTGCATGTAATTTGTGTTTTTTCTTGTATCTTTTTTTTTTTTAATTACATCAGCAGGGTGTAAAAAACAATGGCATAACTTTTAAGAAACAATACCGCAGAGACCATCCGAAAGATCACATTTGATTCCGAAAATGTTGAAAGATATTATTTTTATACATTGTATTTCTGGTTTCAATCATTTGGCATTGTTTGGGGCTAATCGTGGCAACTCTTGAAGCGGTTCACTTAAGCAATGCTCATATGTATACATATATATATATATACATTTGGCTAAGCAGACATTACAATAATAATGCTTTATACATTTGGCTAAGCAGACATTACAATAAAAATACTTTATAAAGAATGTAAATTGCACATGCACCTGGCACGTTAGCTAAATCAAAATGAAAAATTTAAAGGCATTTCGGAAAATGGCGCTGGATTGGAATGCCTGAAGCTCGAGAACCAAGTCAACCGTGCTCCCAATTAATGAGTTAAGTTAAACAAACAAATTAATTACAACATTATTAATTAGCAGGGCGCTATGTGGCATGCGATTTTGACGGCTACAACTATTTCAAAACTCACACGTGCTTTAAAATTATACCTTTCAAGAAATCTCTTTATTATTTATATTTATTTATACATGTATTCAACTGATTTTCCATCAGTGTTTAGTACCTTAAATTATAAGCTTAAGCTTATGGCTTATATAGCACTGAATAAGTAATACCATATAAAGCTGTTCGTAAAAAATTAATGAATGAAGTGTTGTATCTTAAGGAGTAATTTGCTTTTTAGTTGCACCAAATTTAGACAAGCTCATTACCAAAACAATTAAAATAAACAAGGTCTTCAGAAATACACGCACAAAATAATAATACTAATTTTCTCTATCGTAATTACCAATATTATGCTTTGCAAGTATAAAAATTATTTTGACTATGTCTCAATAAAGCTCTGCTTTAGCAGAATTGATCATTTTTAAATTTTTACCAATAATAAATCAGTTTAATCGCATTTCAATAGAAAATTTCAGCTAAAAGCCGAGCTGCTCTCATGCTTTCTTGGTGGAAAGTGCCAAGAAGAGAGAGATCCGTTCAATGTCAGTGCTGTTTGCTCAGCCTTTTTTAAAGCAGATTTTGACACAAACAGGCTATTATTAGGACTTTGTTTTAGCTTTCAAAATCAAAGTTTTTGGCAACTTTGTACATGTTAAGCGTTCTTAATTATCCTCCAAAGTTGGTATATAGTGTTTGACTGGCTTTTTAATTTGGCATTACAACTTTTCAAGAGGTTTAAGATCTGCGTAGTATGAGGTCAATTAAAACAGTGAGATATATAAGCATTTGCAGTCACGCTCGATTTGGGTTTACCAATTTAAATGATGGTTGAAAGCTCTTGTTTCACATTTTTACCACAACTCCACATTTGTATCTTCAAATCAGGTCTTATTTAAGACGAACATTTGCGGTACATTCGTAATGGCATTTCAGCCATTAAGTAATTTTATTGCATGCTTAATATTTAACAATTGCAGCCAGTGACCTCCAAATCAAAATAAAATTAGTTAATTTATCAGTCGAAGAAAGCGAGTGTTGAGATTAACTCGTTTAGCTTTCGATTTCATTCACGTTTCTTGCCCGGCTCTTGCTTTGACTCTGGCTGTGGCTCTGTTTGTTGATGCAACTGCTCAAACAACTTGTACGTTTTCAAAGTCAAGGTCTTCACCAACACCACCAACAACACCACCAACAACAACAACAAAAACAACATGAACAGTATTGCAACCGCTTCAGTGGCTAATAGTTGCCACCGGATGACTGCCACCAGCCAACCTCAACTTTATGTGGTCATCTGACCATAATTTGAAACGATTACAACCCAATCTTGTCGTGGACAACGCCTTAATGGGTCGCTTGACTACAGCCGAAGATGTTCTCGCTCAAATTAACACATTTACTCTTAAGTTAAGTAACTTAGTGTAACTTAGTTAATTAAATTACCGGGGTTAATTACTTAGACGTTAACTGTAAGTAGCCAACGGAAACAAAATAATTACCGACGTCTTGTCTTCCGCTCAAATAATAAAAGAGCAATCTTTGCTAGATTTTGACGAAGTTACAATTTAAATACTTCACTTTAAAATCAAAATATAAAATAACGCATAAATAAATTGGTTGTATGTAAAATAGTTCAACATTTATTGCAAGGATTGGGAAAACGCAGAAAAAACCAGGTAGACCAAAAACAGTTAATTAGTTAATTAGTAGCTTAGTCATAGAGAAAGTGAAACGTTAAGCAGGATGAAAGATAGAGATAGTGAAAGAAAATAAAGATTTCACCAACTACTCACTACCACTTAACACACCACTTAAAAATAGGCCACTTTGCGATTTTGGGAAATAAATCGCAATTTTTATTCACAATTTTGAAAATGCGAATCTTGAGTGTAATAAACATATATAAGCAATAATTTTACAACTTTTAAATTGCAGTACATATTCAAAGCAAGATGCACGGTGAGCTAATTTTTTAAAGTAAAAACGGCGTAAAACTTTTGACAAACTTTATGCTTGGTAAATTCGATTAAAATCTACATTTTAATTATTATAATTTATGGCAATGTTATGAAGAATGTAAATAGTAGAGAAGATATTGTTTTCTAATTGTTAAATGTATGTTTTGTGTCTTGATTTGTTGTTGAATTGAAAAACTGTAACCAACGTTCTCGTTAGTTGTGAAGTAATTTAATTTTACAGCAAAATACAAAAAGGAGCTCATCTTTTGCCAGATTGTTTTTATGACAGATATATGATTTTTAATTTCCGATTTCCATGATTTTTAGAACAGATGTGAGGAACATAATAACACGCATGTTTAGTGACTTTGGTCTGGATATTTTGCCAAACAATAGATTTCACAATATTATTGAAACCTCTACCGAACTTATAATTGAATGCCTATAAAATATAGCCAAATTTTTTGAATTTATATAAATAAAATGCCGATCTGGCTGAGTAAGCTCTCTCACGAAATCAAATATTATTCAAGTGGCACGGATAATTAATGCCTGGGACTCGAACGACGAACACGATTTTGTGATGATGGATGTGACTAAATCATGGACACCCAATCATATGCACATGTCTAACTGTATAATGATTACCTATGCTTATTAGTACGTATTTCGCATATAACGATATAATATAAAAGTTTTCGAAATAATAGCGGTACGCACTTACTTATCCACGGTCTTGTAATCGTCAAGTCGTGTTAGTTTGTCTCGCGTGCTCGTTGCCATTTCTGCACAATGTCTGTGCATTTTTCCTCACTTCCGTTTTCAAAGACACCGCTGTTGGATTTGCTCTGGTTGGCATTGTCAATGAGAGCGTCGTGGGGCCGGAACCGGGCCGGACGTGGCAATCGCGGTAAGAGCATCGTAATTACCTTGGTTTTAATTGCATTACGAATTATGTGAACATATGTCCATATGTCCAAAATGCAACCAGGCGGCTGATCGTGAATATGATCAAAAACCTTATATCATAATGTGTGCGAAAAATAATGACTGACTCAATTGTGGCTTAACATTTGTTTATTTCTATATAATACCGAGTCATTTGAACTAATAGACTAATCACGGCAATGATGTGAAAGTAGGAATTGAATGCTGCTGTTGCAAATTTATTTTTATCCTCTGCACTGTTTTGCATTTTTTTAATGTCGATTTGGACATAAAGATAGAAAATTAGAGCTGTTGGTATCTTAATGCACAGATCAACGAACAATTGTCAAAGCCACTTGTGGAAAATGCATTCGACCATTGAGCTATATCTCGATTCAAATAAATAATAAAAATCACTTACTAATTCACTCATTGAATTTATTCAAGAAATTGAATGACGTTTTGGCTTTAAGTTTTCATTTACACAATATTGGATTCCCACTCAGCCAGTAAAATAACATTGCTTGAAAACCTTCTTGTTTTTTGTGATTTTCGGAAAGTGCAATAAATTCAATGTGATTTTTTGTTGCTTTCTTAAATACTGTAATTTAATTTAATGTACAAAATTAGGTAAATCTTTCCATTTTAATTTTTAAAGCGAATGTGTGGATGCTTCGATTTGCTAAAGCGGAATATTTTTTCATTTTTTATTTTCATATGAATATTCATATGAAAAAACAAAATACACCAAGCAATTATTATTAATATGTTCTGTGTTGATTTTGATTTTTTTGCCGTACTCATTAAAACTCAAATTATCTTATCGATATTTAAATAAATATTTCGTAAAAATATTTCAAATTTTATATATTAAGATATATATATATATATTTTTATATTTTGTGATTGCATTCTTGGTTGTCCATTTTAAAATTGTAACTCGAATTCTTCTTCAAAATACTGACTGCTACAAAATGAATTATTTTTCACTTTTTCTTAATCGCTGTTCAACTAATTATTCCTTACGTGAAGCGTTTCGAATACTCTGGAATGATTACAATAGACTCTGTCATGTATTCACTCAAAGTTGAACGTCTTGTCTCGTGAATAACATTTGGGGATTAACTAATTCATACTAACTATTTTTTTTGTGTCAATTGACTTTAGTTGACGTTAAACAAATAAATAAATAAACACCTCCTTGTGATGTGGAATTGATGTGCTGTTTGGCACTGAAAAACCATTCGGAGTATCAGTAAAATTGATACTTGATGTGGCTCTGTGTGAATCCAGCTTCAGGACCGGTCTAATTAAGACATAATTTCGCATATATCATTTTGGCAACGAAAACTCGTTTAATTGTGTTTATAAAAGGTGAACAATTATTTAAAGACCTTAAGAGCCTTGAGAGTATATGCAATTAAATTAAAATAAAAGTCAACGGCATTAAGCATAGGAGTTGACAATTTAGGTCCAGGTCCAAGGTTATGCATCGCTCCAAGTGCCTTTCCCCACTCGGACTGACATATCACGACTCCGACTCCAGTGTCGTCCCATCGAAAATACATTTGCAATACTTTTAATTACATAACATTCCGAATCCGGTGTTCACCATCTAAATGCTGACGTAACAGTTTGCAGCCGTGTCTGAGAGAACTACATTACCGCATTTTTTGCATGTTTATGTCCGCTCGTTGTCAGAATGCGTTCTTTGATGTTTATTTATGGCATTATCTTTTTGCTACGATTTGGTGCGTACTTGTTGCATGATCTCTTTTATACACTATAATCGTTTTAATTCGCTTAAAAGGTGGTCATTATTTAATGTAAATCTACGACTCCAAAATATATCTCTCTGTCTGTAAGAACGCGACGAACTCTGACTAATTAGCTGACGTTTTTATTATTAGTTTATAACTTTTTTATGGGCACTTGCACTTAGCAAAACATATAAACTAAAATTGTTGATTCAAAATTATTGCAGTGCTAACTGACTTAATATATTTTACAGCTGTATGTACAGAGAATCACCTAGTCGAGCACTCATGACTGGATAATAATAATTTATTTGTACACTAAAATTCACTTTTTAGGTAAACAATTAAAACTCATACATAATTGTATGATTGTGGTGTGAATGAAGACAATTGCTTTACTTCAAAGCACACATTAAAATAGATAAATGAGATGTTTCTACCACACCTTTAACCTTGAACAAAAGCTCACTTAGCCAAGCTGTTAAACGGTTATTAATTGTTTGCTTGTTCAATTCAAATTTGTTGCCAAAATTGGGTTTGAGAGGTGTTTTACTACGAAAAAAAGCAAACATGTATTCATTTATAAATTGTATGCAATAATATTGTTTTGACATTAATTTGATATCTGAAATTTACAGTCAGCCACAACGTAAAGGTTACTTGCTGGCTTCAACTGGCCGTATTCCGATTTCCTTCGAAACCAGTTCCACATGGCTCGACTTAATCGAGTCAACACCTTTAAGAATCAATTAGTGTGGAGCATCCAATTTGACAAACTTAAAGGCAATAGCAAATTGCGTCCGCAATCAATGAAAATACCGGCGTCGAGTTGATATGAATTCGCAAGCCAAAATCCGACCCGTCCTGTCCAACGAGTTCAAAAAGTGCTAATCACTCGACTCCGGGCAAGAGAAGTTATTCGGTCATGTGACTTTTAGGCTGAGTTACTTTACCAAGTTGCGTTCCATTACGGGTACCAGAATTTGCGTGAATTTACACTTGTATCTAAATGTTTAAGTGGATATTGATTCACGCATGTGCGTGTATGCACCGAGTGCTTGCCGGTCTACTTACTGACATAAATTATAGAAAAAACTGTCCGGCCGTTGCGTAAAATGAGTGCACCTTGATTTCGATGTCAATAAAAAATAATATATACACATTTTGCAATTAACTTGCAGATCGAGCAGAAGTCGCAACATCTTACGCAACTCTGGAATCCATCGTTCAAATACTAGAGCACCATTTGACAAGATCCCAATCTACACTTTTAGGTGCTTTCACTTAAAACGGCAATTTCAATTAGTGCGTGTTACTTTATCGCCGCGAGCATTGGGAATTTGTTCGATGTGTGTGTGAATGATTTGGGCACGTCTCCTAGCTCCGATTTCAAGAGAGATGCTGGACAAATAAGTACATCTGTATCCATAATACGGCACAGATGGTGTTCGGTGCTTCGGGGCTCTCAATAAGGCTGTCAATGGCAGCGAGTTGTCTGCGTAGCCATCAATAAATCAATCATTTTGTGGTGAAATTCTTTGCTGCGTTACACGGAGTAAAATAGCACTTTAATGATCTCCACTTGGTCTTTGCTGATTTGTGTTTAATTTTAATTAGATGTAGTTAAAGTAAGCCAAAAAAAGTTTGCTCGCAATTACCCGATTTGGTCTCTGCACCACTTTGACGCTTATACAATACACTTTGTACGCTTTTAGTGGCTATTGTAATATTTTTGTCGACTTTGTAAGGAGACACAACAAAGTATTCTGGATTAACACATTTGTGGAGTTGATAAAGCCATGTTCTGTCTGTCCGTCTGTACTTAGTCTTCAAATATATTTTATATAAGTTCAGTCGCATAACTATCTTCATGAAATTTGATATATTTTTGCTGTTACTTAATATATTCCATAGAAACAATCGGTTGAAGAATAAACTACAAGTTGACGCATCGCAATATTCATAGACATAGCTCCTGATACAATCAGGCTAAATTGAAACTCAAATTGTGCCTAAATTAGAGCACACAAAAATGGAAGCGGAAAACAGGACTGGGAAACAGGAAATATAAAATAAAAACTAGAGTTTAGTTGTCTGTGGATTACATCGAGTCTACAAGGGTATATAAACTTCGGTGTGCCTAAAATAGTCTCTATTTCTTGTTCACTGTACACGTTTGTCAACTCAAATTGGTGCAAAGTCGAAGGTTTCTGAATAGCAACATAAACCAGAGAGTTATATAAAAGAAGTTTATTTACTTTCATATGTATTGCAAATATTATAAGAGTATGCATAATAATATACCCAGGAATCATAATCGCATTCGCATTTATATATATTTATTATAGAATATATTTACATAATATCTGTCCCAATAGATATAAAGAATGTTATAAAACATGTATGTATGCATTTGCATTTCTTTTTGTTTCGAATTCAACTTCCTGCTTGGCATGCAAGGTTCATTTGGGACCAAGCACTTTTGTCATATTTGTATCTCTAATGAACTTAAATCAAAGCTAATTACCATAATGCTTGTCCATCTGTTTGTTAACTGGTTGCATTTATTAACGACTAATCTGTCCATGACCAATTGCTTTGCTTTGCTTTGTCCATTGTGATTGCCAAACACCGCGATTATCATCTAGCTTAAGCTAGAATTAAAAATCGTGTGTTTACTTCGTTGTTCGTTGGTTGGAACCGGGTACATGGACACTAAAGCGTTAACTAACCAACTATAGTAGGGGCTTTACTGACTCCAGAGCCTGTTGGTTAATTTTAATGTTATGGCAGATTTGAAAGTAGCCAATGTAGTCCGATCGAGCGAAGTCTGGGCTATTGTTCTGTTTACCATGCAATTAAAATGTATTCAGTCTGTGTGTTGGATTCTGTCACGGCAGCTGGAACGGATTGGCCGCCAATATTTGCGAATTTGCATGCAACAACTGGCATTTTACACAAAGGTCTCTCACCAACAACAATTGGAAGTTGCGGTTGGCTCTGTGACTGTGGCCATGTTGCCAGATGAATGAGTCCACATGGGTCTAAGTCTAAGCTCGAGGCCAGTAAGCTTGGATATAACCGCGTTATGTAAACCCATTTCATACATATCGACGTTTTTACTTATAGTCTGGAAATTGGTGAATAATATGAACACATACTTATTTAAAAATTATAAAATAATTGTAGGTTTCTTTTTACAGCACACTTTTAGACATGTGTGTCTTACATTTACACACATTGCGCTGCCACAATATATACATTTTTTTAGGCAAATACCAGCAGCAGCAAATTGTTGGCCTGTGCAACGAACATGCTTTTGTTGAAATGTCGCAATTAAAATGAATGATAACCAATACAGACGAAATAGGTTAAGGAACCAGTTGCTACCATAACTGCAGAGCCTGTGTCACAGCCGCCAAGATCGATGGTCGATTGTTACATCTAACTGTTCCCTAACTAGTCGGCTAGCCGGCCAGGCCAACACACCAAATGGCCCAGTTCGTGTCTAATGCCAGTTTAAGCCAGCCACATAATAAAATTTACATAGAAAACACACACACACAAAGGTTTCGCTGAAGAAGTAGTTTTTCCGTTCGCCTTTTTTGATCAAATACCTGCTGCGAATATTTCTATGGTTCAAGCGAATTAAAATTGCTCTGACAGTGAAACAGAGCACTTAAGTCTTAGATCATCAAAATAAACAACCAACAGTCATCGACAATTCGGCATGGCGAATTTTCTATGCCATAAATAAATATACACAAGCTGCCATGCTCAACAATCAAAATTAAAAGTAACCAACTTTTGAATAGAGGCCCTCGCTGTACAGATATTCCTCGTTCATATATATATCCAACATGAAGCTAGTAAAAATTTAGATTACTTAATGGATTTCAAGAAGCAATATTTTGTTGTAGTTTCTAGTAGTGTGTTTGTTTGTTTTTTATTTAATTGTAATATGTATTATCATTTTAAATTTAAATTAATTCAAAAACATATTTTTAACCGTTACAGTGCCTTATTTTTATTAGCTTATTTCTCGACCCCCTGCTTACATTAATGGCACTCACATTCTCAATTTGTAGGCGGAGCAATCTCGTCATATTTCTTAAAAAAGTCTGTCATTTAAGTGATATGGAAATATTCAGTGTATTAATATTTATCCCTAAACTTAATTCGTATTAAACGAGACAGTGTTATAAGAGGTTTATCTGTTTAAAAGTAGCATTTCATCATCACATTCATACACTTCATCTTGCCGCAGAAGCAAAACAAAAACTTTTTATAGGGGGAGATAACTATGTTTTTTTCTATTAATTTTTGAAATTAAATGGTTCTTTTTAATAAGTCAATCAGAAGGCTAGGATTGAGTTCCGAAATTTGAAAGGTACATTTCTGACAACTGATTTTGAAGGTCTATCTGTGTTTATTCAATCTAAGACGCACATGTTCCATATTTATGTGGAATTTCGAACAGCAACAAAAATCATGTTTCTAGCATACCATTCTAGAGTCGTGGAATTTAAGATGGAATTTGAGTTTCGATTATGTATTTTAAGCCAGTCACCCAAACGTGTTCAACTGCTTGAGCAACAATTAGTTTTTGTTCTCCTCAATAGTTAATTGTTATTATTACGTAACTATTGAATTCGATCGAAAATTACAAAATCGCATCATATCATTGAAGTTTTTTTTAGTTATGTCATATATTTTTATTATTGATTTAATTATGATTTTGAGGTCAAGTAGATAAATATTGATCGTCATCTGCAAACTGATGCCTGGTCAAAGAGACAGTTTTATGAGGCGTACATAACGATAGCTTAAACCTTTAGCCATGCAGACTGTTATATGATTTGTTCGTAAAGTTTGTAACGCATTAGAGGATAAGTCTACGACTCCACATAGTATACATATTCTTGATCACTATCTATGTCAGTGTGACCATTTGTCTGTCCTTTTGTCTACCCTGTATGCGTATATGAGCAGAACCACTAAGCAGACAACACATGTATAATCCGGTCCGATAGTTTAAGTCCGGTCTGCAAGGGTATGTAATCTTCGATGTGCGTTAAATAGCCTCTTTTCCTATGTTTCTGTTTTCTTTGTCTCTGCCGCTTTGCACTCCAAAAGCGTGTCAAATATTGATACGTGCTTTTATATTTTTTTATGTGCATTCCATAATGCGAATTTATTGCTTTATTTAGCTTTACGACCCCCGCTACGTTGGTGTGCAGCATTTTGCAGCCATACTTTTGTTTACAAACTTTTGAAGTTGTCTTTGGTTCTGCCATTCACATCATAAGAGCTTGTTAGTTACGCAATGAATCGTTATTGATTTTTTTTATTAAATTCGAGTGAGGAACTAACTGAGCACTGAGTCGGATTTTATAAGTCAAATTCGATGATTTCTTTTGATATGATCATTCTTAGGTATAATATGCTATGTTGAGAATACTCCAATAATCAAATCAATTAAATTATCTGCAAGAACCACTGCAGTCACGAAATTAATTTGTATTTTTTTTAACATAAAAATGTGCCAGTTATTTCTAATGAGAGCTATTCAACCAAACGTATTAAAATACATATATGCATCTAGTTTTTAAATTTATTTGAATTCATAAATTTATAGCAATCCCATCATTCCATTTTTACTTATCTTTGGTATTATTTGCTTATTTTCAAATAAAATGTTCTTAATATTTGAACAATATTTAAATTATAAAATCATATTCATGTACTATTATCTTAGCCCCAGCTGTATGAGTGATTTTAATATCAATTAATATAATTTAAGATTGTAAATGGCGATTTGTAATAGAAAACTTATTTTCAGATGCGCCATCAGCGAGATATGCTGGTCCTCTGCATTTTGGGACTTGTCTGCAGTGTGGTCGGACTTAAAGTATCAACTGGCTACCATATCGTGCACAATGAGCAACCACGCTCCCATGGACCACACCTGCATGGGTACTCGTATCTTCCAGCTGCCCAGCAATTTTTAATAGGGTAAGCCTTAGCTGCTCTTATTCTGCGACTCTATAACTGACACATGTATTTATTTGCATCAGAAATACGCTGACCTCTGCAGTGGATACTTCGCCCTTACCTCAAAATCCATTCTTTACTGTTGCAAGTCCCACACCAGCACCGCCCATGCAGGGTAGGGTTACTTGCGCCAATCCTCCGGCTGTTTGTGAGAAGTCCGCCTATCGAACGATGGATGGATCATGTAATCACCTGGAAAACCCTGGGTTGGGCGTTGCCAATACTAAGTAATATCAAGCGCCTAGACTACACTTAGAAAAAAAAATCAACATTTTCGTAAATCGTCCTTAAACACAAGATTTTATTTAATTTTAGAAATAATTTCTAAATATCAGAGATCAAAATTCTTAAAATTAGAAATTTGATTTTTATTAAGAAATGCATTTCCAAAAAGTACAAATGCAAACCTGCATTCTAAGAAAATATTATTTCTGAAATTCAGAATCTAGTAGTGAACACTAATAATGAATCTCATTCAGAGATCGGTATTTCTCGTATTTCTGTTCTGTGGCACCTGCTATCAGATGGTATAACTTATGGTATCAGGGTATTTCGCAGTCGGTTACAAACGACTGCAACGTTCTCTCTTATTTCAAGTAGCATATGAATTATATAAACTACATAAAATGTTTGGTTATATGTGATGTCAAAAATTACTAATTTTTGATAATAATATAAGTCACAAAAAAATTTTTCAAGGTAAACAAAAATTAGTCAGCACCTTAGAAATTTGACATATTTCTTCAATATTAAAAATTATCAAAAAAATGGCGATTTACTAAAATGTAGGTAGATTTTTTTATGAGTTTATGAGTGTATGTTTCAATCAGTATGTTTGTGCCACTTCTAACGCATGTCCTTTAGGTATGGTCGTCTTGTGACACCCAAATACGCCGATGGAATATCGGCACCAACCCGTTCCGTGACTGGCAATGAGCTGCCCAGTGCTCGACTGGTATCCATTGTGGCATTTGGTGAGCAGTCCGTGCCCGATCCGCAGTTTACGCTCCACAACATGCAGTGGGGCCAGATTATGACGCACGACATGAGCATGCAAGCGGGTGGCACTCAATCCAGTACGTCGATCTTGATCACTTGATCACTTGGTAACAGATTCTCTAAATTACGCTGTCTACTCCTACACAGAGAAACATCCGACGCGCTGTTGCACAGATGATGGACGACTGGTGGGCTTGGATACAGCGCATAAGACCTGCTTTGCCATCATCGTGCCTCCCCATGATCCGGCCTACTCCCAAGTCGGCACGGAATGCCTCAACTTTGTGCGCACCCTGACAGATCGTGACTCTAACTGTCAGTATACCGGTGGAGCGGCCGAGCAGTTGACCGTGGTCACCGCCTACATGGATCTGTCCCTTGTCTATGGCAACTCGATGCAGCAAAATAGCGACATCCGTGAGTTCCGGGGTGGACGCATGATTGTTGAGGAGCGTAATGGCGCCAAATGGCTACCCTTGTCCCGTAACATAACCGGAGACTGCGATGCCATCGATCCGAATGAAGTCTGCTACCGAGCCGGCGATGTACGTGTCAATCAAAATCCCGGACTCGCCTTATTACAGACCGTACTGCTCCGTGAGCACAATCGCATTGCCGATGCTCTGTCTGCTCTGAATCCTCACTTTGACGATCGCACGCTGTTCCAGGAAGCTCGCAAGATCAACATAGCCCAGTACCAGCAAATAAGCTATTACGAATGGCTACCAATTTTCCTGGGCGAGGAGAATATGTTGAAGAATAGCCTGATTTTCAAAGCTCCGGGAGGCAGCTACGTGAATGACTACAATCCTAGCATCGATCCCAGCGTATTAAATGAACACGCCACAGCTGCATTCAGATACTTCCATTCCCAAATCGAGGGTCGATTGGAGTAAGTCTATTTTTATACACCCTATCAGAGATGCCAATTTCTTGTACTCTGTATCTCTCGATATCTCTTTTTTATTATTAGCAGCTATAAACTCGTTAATTTGTAACGTCTTCTCTGCTTATAGCCTTTTGTCCGAGCTGCGCTCAGTTCTTGGTTCGTTAACTCTTAGCGATTGGTTCAATCGCCCTGGTATTCTCGAGGTTGGCGATAACTTTGATTCCCTAACCAGAGGTCATGCAACACAGCCAGAAGAGCTGACGGACATCAACTTTGATAAACAGGTATCTATGTCCAGACAACTATTACAAAAATAACTTAACTTCAGTCATACAATCGGATTAAAAATTAAAAAAAAATTAAATTGATCACACCAAAATGAATGGAAATTGATAATATTAGACTGAGTTGATGAGGTTGATCTCGAATGGATTACGCTGCCATCTCAGCGTTTATTTTGTAAGCGATGGGAATTTGAGCTCAATAATTTAAAAAATAATTAGAAATACTTCCGCATTACTTTTTCTCCATATATAATTATTTATAATTATCATATGAAACGAATTTATTCTCTAATATTTTTGAGAAAAAAACACATTTTAAAAAACTCCCAGCTATTTTTCATTTATATTTTTGTGTATTTATAATTATCATTTAATTTATTAAACGTAATTTTATTTTTGGCAGATTTAAAATACTCTCACCTATTGTTTATATAATTGTCATCAAAAATATATTAAACTTAATTTTATTTTTGCTAGATTTGAAATATTTCCAACTATTTTATCTGCATTCATAATTATCATTAAAAATGTATTAAAAGTAATTTTATTTTGTAATTTTTAATTTATATAGATTAAGCATTTTCTATTTAGACGCAATATGCCATTCGGCTCCGATTTGCGTTCATTGGATATTCAGCGGAATCGTGATCATGGACTTGCATCGTATAATGATATGAGAGAATTCTGTGGCATGAAGCGGGCACAGTCCTGGGAGGACTTTGGTGATCTGATCAGTCCGCAGATAATTAATACACTCAGATCGCTCTATGATAGTCACGAGGATGTGGACCTGACTGTTGGTGGCTCTCTTGAGGCACATGTGGCTGGGGCATTGGCCGGTCCCACTTTCCTTTGCATCCTGACGGAACAGTTCTATAGAACTCGAGTCGGCGATCGTTTCTTCTTCGAGAATGGCGACAAAATCAGCGGGTTCACTCCAGGTATTAGTTGGCATTCCAAGCATTGATCAATTATGTAATTGTTCAACATCTTAATTAGATCAATTGGTGGAACTGCGCAAGGCAAGCATGGCTCGTTTGCTCTGTGACAATGGCAACAATATTGGTTCGATGCAGCCTGCTGCATTTAAAACTATTTCGGGATCGTAAGTACCATTAAAAAAAAAGTATTGACATCAATAATAATCCATGCCCCTTTACTAGGAACCCTATTATGCCATGCTCGAATATTCCGCAAGTTGACCTCACGAAATGGGTCGATCAAACTATACATGCCTCTGCAGATCACTCAGTTCTGTTTGGAAAGAAGTGACCGTTTCCATTGTGTGCACACGGATCTGTCTTTAACTAGTTCAAAATATAATAACAATTAGTTTAATCAACTTAAAGATTGTAAAATCAAACTCCATGTATTATATTGTCCCCTCTTTATGTACATAAATAAATCATATCGCTATATAAGAAAACCATATTATTATTATCCATTTTAATAAAACTGTTTATCCCAGCTGACTGACAGGGGATCAAAATACATTTTAGGTGCTGCAGCATTATACACATACAGAAAAAACCATGTGCAGACCACAAAAATTAAAAAATAAGATAGAATACAGCACAAATTTATTCAATTTTTTGATCAAATCTTCTTTATGGTACGTGGTAATATCGACTCCGTCAGACATGCCGATCAAGAATGCGGCCCCTTCAATGCACCTGCAAACGTTTAATAAAATAATTAATTCATGTAATACGTATAGAAGTATAATTTAATTGAGCAAGTAATGCTAATAATAATCATGTTCATCTTAACTTCATTTCGAAGTTATCCTTAACCCAGTTATAAAAGTCGGCATCGGAGTCGAAGTTAGAAATGTTTTGATAACCATTAATTATGGATCAGTTTAACACACTGAACAACATTTTTTTCTGAGTGATAAATACACCTATATTAAGGCTTTCTGGAATCTTATAGTTATTCTACAAATATTTTAAATACTGGTTTTTGCTGATTAAGATTTCATGAAATGGAATTTCACACATTTTGAATGGGATCAGAGTATAAAAAATGATATTTATTATAGCAAACAGAAGTAAAAGTATATTAAGCATATATTCTAACAATCAACACAAATTATTTGAGAACAATGTCATTTGCATAAGAATGATAGTTTTCTTCTGATCTTTCTCTTCAAGAACTATTTGACATTTAAATGGCAACTTTTTTGTTTTCTTTTTTTTTTGTTTTATTAATTTACAAATTGGTTGATTAATGATTTTCTTTGTTTTTTTTTATTGGCTTTCAAAGTGTATCTAGTTTAGTTATTTTGATTATTTACATACCATAATCATAACCATATACATATGTGATACTCAAATCACAATGAAGAGCCAAAACAAAACAGAATAACAGAAAGTGATAACAAGGCAACATTTATGTTATCATTTGAATAAATGTAAAGAAATATGAATAAAAATTAAATATTCTTTCTTTTGAAATTGGTCGTGTGCAATGCAAATCAGTTTCTAGAAAACTTCTCTGATAAATTATACCCTTAAGCAATTTTGAACGTAAAAGATGCATATTTGATCCACCGCTTCATGTTTATTAATTTATTTATTATATTGTATGAACTTCACAATATGCTAACATAAATGTGTTTGAATTTAAATTTGTAAGAAAAAAATCCGTTGTCAAAAATGGTTTGGCTTGTGCTTGATATATCCAGAATTAACTAATGGAATTTTTTCAGTTCCTCAAAAAAAATGAAGCCATATTAACCTTTGACTCGAGCAAAAAATATCGACTAATATTTAAAATATTATATATAACACAATGGTTAAGTGATGCGTGGGTTGTGGATTAAAAGTAATAATATTCATTAATTTTTGAATGTTCATATTCATTTCGATTTATACTTTTCTTTATATTTTTAAATAATATTAGCCAATTTCTAGCAGTTTAGGTATGAATTACAAGAGGACACTGTAAAATTAGGCACAAAATATTGAAACTTGCCTACATATTAGTATACAACATGTCTCAGTACGATTCAAGTGTCGAACGACGGTATAATCTGGATAGACTTTTCTGACAATTTAAGTTTTAGTCAATAGTTCAAGATAAGAATTGGCTTGGTTGTTGTAGTTTTGCTAGGTAAAATAAGAACTTACGTCACAATTGCGAGTTAATTAATTAATATTAAATTAGCATAATTTATTGATAGCTTAATTACCTTTGATCCTTAGTTAAAAAAATACACATGTAGACGGGAGTCCCCTTCTCCTATATAAAATAAAATATAATTTTGAAAAAATTCTCAAATATTGCAGAAATATGAAGTAGTGATTCGATCTTTGCGAGTCATAAATATTATCTGAGAAACTAGTTTGCTTACAGTGCCACAGACGAATGACTCACGGTCGGACAAACCTTTAAATTATTAATTTAATAATTAAAGTATTAGCATCTTTCGAACTAAAAACTAAACTAAACTATGTTGTAAACAGCCTCATAAAGAAGTTTTTTTGTGAGTAGCTCAATTAGTGCTTGTGTATCTATAAGAACAGAAGAGCATCTTTTTGATGGGAACAACTTTATAAATAAATAATGTTCAGGGGTTATGCACTTTGAGATCCTTGGACTTAGGCGTAACTCTTTTTTTATCCAGTTAATTTTTATTTATAGGTTTTATCGTACGAAAGGAGTGAAATGGGTTACGAGGCGTACTAATTGCTAAGATAATTGGCCCTGTGATGCTCCGCTCTTGCGCATCATTATTCTCAACTGGCTGGTTGTCTTCACTGTAATCGTCTGTATAGGATTCGGGCTGATTATTTTGTTCATTTTCTGATACATTGTTAGATTCCAAACCGTCTTCGTTACTCATATCATCATTATCAGTCATATTTTCAACCAATTCAACATCGTCGGACAAAGATTCTGTGGAGTAACGCTGACCCGCTGATTCTTTCATAAAGTCTTGATCCAAAGTATTTTCATCATTGAGATTTTCGAAATCTTCCATGTCATTGTCGCCCTCAATTAGGTGTATTCGCTCATCCCATTGATCCCAGTCAAAGGTTGCGTCCTCTAAAGGTGGAGGTCCTAAATCTGGAGGTGTTGGTCCTGGCGGTTGTGGATGTGGATGTGGATGTCCTGGGTGGCAATAGCCTGGGTGATGACAGCCTGGGTGGTGATATCCTGGGTGGTGATATCCTGGGTGTCCCTTATGCGGATACCCTTTGTGTGGATATCCTTTGTGTGGATACCCTTTGTGTGGATACCCTTTGTGTGGATATCCTTTGTGTGGAAATCCTTTGTGTGGATATCCTTTGTACCCTGGATAGCCTGGGTAACCCGGATACCCTGGATACCCTGGGTGTCCCGGATATCCTGGGTAGCCACCAGGACCACCAGGATGATAATGACCTTTTCCCGGCACGGGAATTGGTATTATTATTGGAGGGGGTTGTGGGTAAGGAGGCGCGGGCGCCGGCCCATGCCAACCTTTATTTCCTGGATAACCGGGTGGACCCTGGGGTCCAGGTATGCCAGCTGGTCCAAAGTGACCTTTGTCCCCCTTATCGCCTTTGTCACCCTTCGGGCCGTAATGTCCAGGTGTTCCCGATTCACCTGAAAATAAATCATAAATCTGAAATTATAATTCTCACCACAAATCAGTACACAAACCTTGAGAGCCCGGTGGACCAGGTAAGCCTGGCGGACCTGGCGGACCCGGGGGGACAAAAACATTGTACCGGTGGACTTGGATGGGGTGGATGCGGATATGGATATGGTGCTGGTGCTGGTATTTTGTAAATCACAGGTGCAGGAGCTGGCCCTTGAGCCGTCGAATGAACGACAAATCTTCCGGTTTCTTTACCACATTTTATGTCTCTTACCAAACCGAAAATGGTTAAGCCTAAGAAGGATATTTTAAGTATTTTGGCTCTCTAATCGAATATATCCAATAATGTGACTTACCAAAGCAGACGATTGATATCTTCGATTTCATGGTTCGAAAGCTAATGCTACCTTTCGCCAAAGAACCGATCACTTTTATACTTCAAGCACAAATCATATAGAATTTTTTGCGCAGACAAACACATATTTTAAAAATTTACTTTTAATAATCTAGTTTCTATGGGACCGTTATAAATGGAATTCACTGAGAAATCTGTCTTTTGTCTTATTATCTTTATTTGTCTACATAGCAAAGAAACTAATTATGATTTGAATAAAAATCTCATTGACTCTGCATAATAAAGGTGCTGAGATCCATCGTTGATTTCGTCACGTCATTACTTCTGTTTGTAAAAGATGTCACGCTTCAGAATCTAATTAGCCCACATACAGAATATTTTCTTGAGGTATACCGGTATAATGAAGCCGCAAGGTCAGAGGGAAACTAAAGGTTAACTGTTTCTCCTATTACGTAAGAAGTTCAAAGTCACTGCCCTAATTTTATTGAATCTTGTATTCAATGCAGGGAATCAAAGAGAAACCGAAACTTTTTCGCGAAATTCAAAATTATATATTTTTAAAACCGGTAACCGAAAACCGATAATCTTGGAACTGATCAGACCGTGAAATAACCAAAACATTTACCTAACTAATTAAGTTGTATGAAATATAGTTTAGATTACAACTTATTCAAAAAATACTTTTCACACAAGGACTCGTCTATCTAGAAATTGTTCTTATGCCAGTTGTCTATTATGAAGATCCGAACCAGCCGGCAAAGAGATTGACTACTGCTTTCTTAAATAAAATATAACTTATAGAAATATCTAATACTGATGACGATTTGCATAATTCTGTTGATGTCATTTTGAAATCTTACAATGCCTTATGTCACGTATACTCTGCAGAATTTTCTCTTTATTTAAATAAATTTGTAATTTTAACATATCTCTGGTTAATCAGTAAGAGTGCTTAACTGCGGAAAATTTACATAATTGCACAGGTTCAGATATTTACCAATCCCTTCTATATCTGTCTGTTTCTCCCTCTGCTTCTTTATCGTTACTCTTCAAATTCCTCTGCTTGTATATTATTAATATGTAATCATTAACATTTTTGGTCGGAATAGTTTTTTACTAGACTTCACCAATCCACTGATTGGGTTGGACTAGTTTACATTTTAATACCGCGAGATATTCTATATTTTATATTATTTGTTCAATTTTAAATTAACTATTTATTTTTATCTAATGAGATTTTTGTGTTTTACAATCCAATCCACTAATTAAGGATTTAATTTAAGCAATTTTATTGAAAATTTAAAAACAATTGTGAAATTTTCAACTTTTAAAGTTTGTGGTCTGCATTTAGTTTACATTAAATAAATAAAATAAAAGTAAGATTTAGGTAGTTACATTTTCAAAATAGTGTTCGCTTACATCACTAAGCAGACTATAATGTATTGCGATGTTATTCAAAATAAAAGTGATCGATTAAATTATCGAATTAATCACAAATGAGAGGAGATGCTTCCTACTGTCTACTTGCTTGATTGTTTACAATCTTTAATATGTTCAGGTTATAAAAAGTGAGCGCTTACATTTATATAAAAGTGAACGGTAACAAAACACCACTTAATCAGCTGAAATTTGGGGTACCAACCAATCTAAGCAGAGCATTCAAATATTAATTGAGCAGGAGACCATTTGATATGCATGCGTCTTGCTGGATGGGTGCTCATTTGCCATGATGAACGACTTTGGATTTCGACGCTGAAGTTGGGGGAAAAACTATCTCGTTGAAAGTAGACCGATTAAACTTTCAAAAATTGAAGCCATTTAAATGCGTCGACCATTGGCAAACTTGTACACCTTCTGGAATTACCTTTTTAAAAGTGAAAACTCAATTTGTGTAAAACGCTAAAATCACATTATTATCTACATTAGCATTATTATCGATAAATGTCTGATTACCATACATGTTAACCATCTCAATGGAAGTGCCTTTTAACGACTTGTTCAAACTAAATTCTAAAAATAGTAATGTTTAATAATAATATAAGTAAGAAAAAGGCTATTATAAAAATTTCTCAATGTACAGTTATAGAAAACGATTCCCTGAAAATTCGACATAGTTTTACTAAATTTTATAAAAATCCAAACTGAGATTTAGATTAGAAATAACTATAGTTTGTAACACGTCCAGTGTTTCGCAGTGGGCAACCTCGGCTAGCTCAGTATTCCCAGAGGTGGGTAACTCCAACCCTGCCCGTGGACGGTACAGACAACAAAAAAAACTCGACCTGCACAACACTACATAAAAGACCTACATGCACACACAAAAACAAACGAAACAGCTGACGGGCCTGGTGTTTATGGCCACGACGTACCCGCCCTTCCTGCAATGGGCTTGCACGGATTCGAATTGCCCATCGCCCTTATTGTGGTTGACGACTAATTTATTCCATGCTCCCGGTGATTCTCCCCTGTATTTAACTTACTCACAGATCATCGTTATTTCCTTACAATTTATTAACAAACATTACATGCTATGAAGTATTAATTACTGAATAGGCCGCTAGGTAGCGTTGTATTCTGCAACGGCTATTCAATTTTGAATTTAAATCGTGAATCTTGCCAAATCCGATAAAACCAAAATAAAAAAAAATGGAACAAATATGACTGTTACTTTGGGTGGTCCTCAATCCCTATCCTACCCTATTAGAGCTCCAATATAAGTATTCGGTGTATGGGGGGCTCGTGCAAAAAGAAATGGATTCTGCAATTTGGCAAAAATCCGGACGCCGAATTTTGTTGACGAACACAGTCAACTTAGAAATTTAAATAATTATTAGATGCATGAATAAATAAATACAGTAACGTAAATAACGAATAACTTAACACAACATTCAACAAATTTGCTTAATCTAACATTCACATTTACATAAATATACTGGAGTATGGGTGAGCGTGCTGGAGCACTGCTCACATGCGCGCAGTCGACTCGCACCCTTTTTTTCTTGACATGTGTTTCTTTTTTTTGTTTTTCTTTCTTTTTACAATTTGTAATTTAATTTGGACTCTGGGTCGATTGCGCGTACTGCGCTCGAGCTACGCGGCTGGTTACTAAAGGCTTATCCCGATGGCACTTATTCCACATCGGAACGCACTCACCGGCTGAAGAAATACCGTCGGTGCGCTTGCGCGCTGCCAAAATCAGGGGATGGTGTATTCGCCCAGTGTTTCCTCGCAGTAGCTTCGAGGGCGTATCCGGCAATCTTTGCGCGACGGCCAGGTCCTTGTTGCATCGACTTCGGAGCATATGACATAAATTGCACAATTGCGGCGTGACCTGCCGTCGGCCACCTAAACATAACCCACAAAATTAGCGCAGCACAACATTTATTCAAACAGACACACTTACGCCGAATTTGGCTTCACAAGGTCTAGCGAATATGGAGGGTCAAGGCACTCCTAAATGTACTTCACCATTCGATCCGTACGGCACACAAATTTAAGCGCTATGGACCACGACCTGCCTCACTGCGTTTTTTTTTCTTTTCCACATGTGTTCTCGTCCCTAAGCTTAAACGCGCCACCTTGCGGAGAATGTCCTCACACGTTGCTGACCCTGCCAACTTCTTCCCGCTTTTCAGCAATGTGGCCCTTTAAATCTCACTTTTGGTTGTGGCATACGATAATTGAGTATCGATATGTCTGCAAATGCAACAACACACGAGAATTTAAAGTTAGGCGCCCGCTTGAACGATCAAAATTGTCGTCGCATTTCCTCCGTCTGCTCCGACCGTTGCCCATTGTGAACCTCGCCCAACGTAGGCCACACCCACGCTATATCCCCGTTAAATCCGAAGATCTTTAGCATGGACGACCCCTAGCGATCTTCCGTTTAGATCCTCTACCTCATACGCGTTGTTTCCTACGGCTCTAACAATCCTGCACTTGCGAAATTTTTTTGCGAATTTCGCGTTGAAGGCCTTGCTGAAGTCGCTCAGCACAAAATTCCGCCTATAAACTTCTTGGCCTGGCACAGCGTGAAACTTCCGAGCCCGCTTGTCGTACTGTTGCCGGCTGCGTTCAAACGCTTTGTGCAGATGCAGCCTCACCTGATCTTGAACTATTCGGATCTTGTCCTGCGTTTCTAAATCGGAGATGGAGTGTTCACCCATCGACCGTAGCTTCCGTGCGAGCTTGTAACTGGCTCCATTTAAATACATCTGCTGTCCAAAAACCGCAAAAAATGGTGTCACCCCGGTTGCCGAATGGACAGCATTACGAATCGCAACCTCAATTTCTGGTAAGAAGTGATCCCACTCTCTATGATCTTGTTCCAAATACGCGCGGATTGCTGCAAGCACCGTTCGATTCACGCGCTCGGCTGCATTGCTTTGAGGGGAATATATGGCCGTTCTCATGTGGGAGATCCCGAAAGCTTCGGCCATATTTTCGAACTTCTTGGAAACGAATTGTCGACCGTTATCCGAATGGATGGTTTCAGGGACACCGAATTTAAAGAAAACCTCGTTAATCAGGAATTCCACCACGTTGTCTGCCGTAGCGTCTTTCATGGCCTTCAGAAACGTAAATTTCGAAAAGTGATCGACGACTACGAAGACCCATGCATGACCTCTTTTTGACCGTGGGTACTTTCCCAAAAAGTCAATGTACAATTTCTGAAAGGGTCGTTCGGTCTTAACTTCCTGCCCTATGGACACTTGCATCCTTTGGTTCGAAGCCTTCGTTTCTTTGCACGCCACGCATTCCCTAACGTATTCACGAACTTGAACCGCCATGTTGGGCCAGTAGAATTGTCTCCGTAACCGATGGAGAGTTTTCGTTACGCCTCCATGGGAAGCCTTTGCGTCTACGTGAGCTTGTTCTATGAGCGTTGAAGTAAGAGATTCGGGCACCCATAACTTCCACAAAGTACCCTCGACTTCGTCTTCCATTCTTGTAAACCCGGTTCGTTTGTACAACAGTCCGTCCTCAACGCACAAATCCGGTAGTCGATCCTGATTTCTAATGACCTCCGCCA